TGCTGAGGTCAGTCATGCAGTGGTTCTGCTGAGGTCGGTCATGGAGTGGTTCTGCTGAGGTCAGTCATGCAGTGGTTCTGCTGAGGTCAGTCATGCAGTGGTTCTGCTGAGGTCGGTCATGCAGTGGTTCTGCTGAGGTCGGTCATGCAGTGGTTCTGCTGAGGTCGGTCATGCAGTGGTTCTGCTGAGGTCAGTCATGCAGTGGTTCTGCTGAGGTCAGTCATGCAGTGGTTCTGCTGAGGTCAGTCATGCAGTGGTTCTGCTGAGGTCAGTCATGGAGTGGTTCTGCTGAGGTCGGTCATGCAGTGGTTCTGCTGAGGTCAGTCATGCAGTGATTCTGCTGAGGTCAGTCATGCAGTGATTCTGCTGAGGTGCGTCATGCAGTGGTTCTGCTGAGGTCAGTCATGCAGTGGTTCTGCTGAGGTCAGTCATGCAGTGGTTCTGCTGAGGTCGGTCATGCAGTGGTTCTGCTGAGGTCAGTCATGCAGTGATTCTGCTGAGGTCAGTCATGCAGTGGTTCTGCTGAGGTGCGTCATGCAGTGGTTCTGCTGAGGTCGGTCATGCAGTGGTTCTGCTGAGGTCGGTCATGCAGTGGTTCTGCTGAGGTCGGTCATGCAGTGGTTCTGCTGAGGTCAGTCATGCAGTGGTTCTGCTGAGGTCGGTCATGCAGTGGTTCTGCTGAGGTCGGTCATGCAGTGGTTCTGCTGAGGTCAGTCATGCAGTGGTTCTGCTGAGGTCAGTCATGCAGTGGTTCTGCTGAGGTCGGTCATGCAGTGGTTCTGCTGAGGTCGGTCATGCAGTGGTTCTGCTGAGGTCGGTCATGCAGTGGTTCTGCTGAGGTCGGTCATGCAGTGGTTCTGCTGAGGTCAGTCATGCAGTGGTTCTGCTGAGGTCGGTCATGCAGTGGTTCTGCTGAGGTCGGTCATGCAGTGGTTCTGCTGAGGTCGGTCATGCAGTGGTTCTGCTGAGGTGCGTCATGCAGTGGTTCTGCTGAGGTCGGTCATGCAGTGGTTCTGCTGAGGTCGGTCATGCAGTGGTTCTGCTGAGGTCGGTCATGCAGTGGTTCTGCTGAGGTCGGTCATGCAGTGGTTCTGCTGAGGTCGGTCATGCAGTGGTTCTGCTGAGGTCAGTCATGCAGTGGTTCTGCTGAGGTCGGTCATGCAGTGGTTCTGCTGAGGTCGGTCATGCAGTGGTTCTGCTGAGGTCAGTCATGCAGTGGTTCTGCTGAGGTCGGTCATGCAGTGGTTCTGCTGAGGTCGGTCATGCAGTGGTTCTGCTGAGGTCAGTCATGCAGTGGTTCTGCTGAGGTCGGTCATGCAGTGGTTCTGCTGAGGTCAGTCATGCAGTGGTTCTGCTGAGGTCGGTCATGCAGTGGTTCTGCTGAGGTCGGTCATGCAGTGGTTCTGCTGAGGTCAGTCATGCAGTGGTTCTGCTGAGGTCAGTCATGCAGTGGTTCTGCTGAGGTCGGTCATGCAGTGGTTCTGCTGAGGTCGGTCATGCAGTGGTTCTGCTGAGGTCAGTCATGCAGTGGTTCTGCTGAGGTCGGTCATGCAGTGGTTCTGCTGAGGTCGGTCATGCAGTGGTTCTGCTGAGGTCAGTCATGCAGTGGTTCTGCTGAGGTCAGTCATGCAGTGGTTCTGCTGAGGTCGGTCATGCAGTGGTTCTGCTGAGGTCGGTCATGCAGTGGTTCTGCTGAGGTCAGTCATGCAGTGGTTCTGCTGAGGTCGGTCATGCAGTGGTTCTGCTGAGGTCAGTCATGCAGTGGTTCTGCTGAGGTCGGTCATGCAGTGGTTCTGCTGAGGTCGGTCATGCAGTGGTTCTGCTGAGGTCGGTCATGCAGTGGTTCTGCTGAGGTCAGTCATGCAGTGGTTCTGCTGAGGTCAGTCATGCAGTGGTTCTGCTGAGGTCAGTCATGCAGTGATTCTGCTGAGGTCGGTCATGCAGTGGTTCTGCTGAGGTGCGTCATGCAGTGGTTCTGCTGAGGTCGGTCATGCAGTGGTTCTGCTGAGGTCAGTCATGCAGTGGTTCTGCTGAGGTCGGTCATGCAGTGGTTCTGCTGAGGTCAGTCATGCAGTGGTTCTGCTGAGGTCGGTCATGCAGTGGTTCTGCTGAGGTCGGTCATGCAGTGGTTCTGCTGAGGTCGGTCATGCAGTGATTCTGCTGAGGTCAGTCATGCAGTGGTTCTGCTGAGGTCAGTCATGCAGTGGTTCTGCTGAGGTGCGTCATGCAGTGGTTCTGCTGAGGTCGGTCATGCAGTGGTTCTGCTGAGGTCGGTCATGCAGTGGTTCTGCTGAGGTCGGTCATGCAGTGGTTCTGCTGAGGTCGGTCATGCAGTGGTTCTGCTGAGGTCGGTCATGCAGTGGTTCTGCTGAGGTCAGTCATGCAGTGGTTCTGCTGAGGTGCGTCATGCAGTGGTTCTGCTGAGGTCGGTCATGCAGTGGTTCTGCTGAGGTCGGTCATGCAGTGGTTCTGCTGAGGTCGGTCATGCAGTGGTTCTGCTGAGGTCGGTCATGCAGTGGTTCTGCTGAGGTGCGTCATGCAGTGATTCTGCTGAGGTCGGTCATGCAGTGGTTCTGCTGAGGTCGGTCATGCAGTGGTTCTGCTGAGGTGCGTCATGCAGTGGTTCTGCTGAGGTCGGTCATGCAGTGGTTCTGCTGAGGTCGGTCATGCAGTGGTTCTGCTGAGGTCGGTCATGCAGTGGTTCTGCTGAGGTCAGTCATGCAGTGGTTCTGCTGAGGTCAGTCATGCAGTGGTTCTGCTGAGGTCGGTCATGCAGTGGTTCTGCTGAGGTCAGTCATGCAGTGGTTCTGCTGAGGTCGGTCATGCAGTGGTTCTGCTGAGGTCAGTCATGCAGTGGTTCTGCTGAGGTCAGTCATGCAGTGGTTCTGCTGAGGTCGGTCATGCAGTGGTTCTGCTGAGGTCGGTCATGCAGTGGTTCTGCTGAGGTGCGTCATGCAGTGGTTCTGCTGAGGTCAGTCATGCAGTGGTATGTTCTGTCCAGAGGAACATGATGTAAGGTCCAGTGTTTCCAGCCTGTCCATGCTGAATTTATCTGGGTTTCTCCTCATCTCTTCATTTTCATGAAAATACAGTCTGTAGTTTTCTATATGCTCCAGTAATGGTTAATATCATGATGTGATTCTTTTAACTGTTCAGTTCTTCTGGGTTTCAGTCCAGTTGGCCGCGCTGTTCGGTTCACAGTGGCTCTCATTAAGTGTGTAAATCTGCAACCAAGCGTTTGGGTTCCTCACCTTTTTTGAGGGTTTATAAAGAAGGAGGTTCTGGTTCTGACTTAGGACTGAAACAGTTAATTGGATTAATCGATTATAGAAATAATTAACTAATTTAGTAATCGATTAATTGTTAACTGGAGTTTAGAGACTTTCAAAGATGCTTTTAGGTGACGGAGTGACCCACCTTGAACAGCAATTATACCAAAAATTGTAAATAAAGAAATTTAACATTTTGTATTTAAGAAAATAAACATTTTAATCTGTAAATATGTTCTATCCAGAACTTCTCAAGTGGAAAAGTTTTAGTTTCACCTGGTTTAATTTAGCAAAAAATATTCTTTAGGATACATTTTGCTATCTGATTATTAATTGATTAATGGAAAAAATAACCGACTCTCTGCGATGGACTGGCGACCTGTCCAGGGCAGACCCCGCCTCTCACCCCTGGAGATAGACACCAGCACCCCTCGCGACCCCACTTGGGATCAAGCGTGTCAGGCTGCATCTGCAGCGTGCAGTGTGGAGATGTTTGGTTAGGAGGTTTGAGGGAAGGACCAGGGTAAACCTGTAGTACTAGCATGGCGGCTCTCAGAGCGTTTAGCTGCATCCTGAGGCAGTCTAACCAGAGGGACACTAGATGCTGACTGAAACGGAGCACATTGTAGATGTTAATGGTGGGAGGAGCTGAGATTTGTTTACAGTGGTTTTCTTCTGCAGCTCTAAAGCCGGTTCTGAACAGTTTTACTCATTAAGGCTTTGCAAATCAAACAGGGACATGGAATGAGGAATGAACGTGCATCAGAACGGACCACTGCCTGCTACTGAGGTCCTGAAGAAAAAGTTTTAGTTCTCCTTCAGAAGAGGAGATGGAAGTTCTTGTTCTTTGGAGTAAATCTGATAGAACATTTTCAGGAGCAGAGATCATGCTGTCCGGTATAACTAGAGTTAAAAATGTGTGATACATCCTGTTTATTTTACTATCTGATGCTGGTATTGAAAAACCATGACAGAGCCACTGTGAAGGTATTTCTTACCGCTATAACTGCTGAGGTTCTGCTTTCCACAGAAGATGCTTTTGATTCCATCTTTAACCATCCATGTCTGCCCCATCATGCCTTAGCATGTCTGCCTCTCTGTTGTTTCTGGATCAGATATAGAAGCTCCTCCATCCTCCGTCAGTCGCGTGTTGTTTTCATTCAAAAGCTTTACATACTAAGACATGGCTATAGGGACACCGATGAGTGATGAAAAAGGAAATGCATAAAGTGCATATTATCAAATTATCTTATTTAAGAGTAAAAATAGTCACTTAATTGGCAAACTATCTCATTTATCTATTCAAATTAAGGGTAAGTACACTTAATTTAAGATATGGGTGGACATGGGTGTCCTCCTGACCATGAGGCCGGAGCAGAGGGTGTGATCTGGTGTTTTGGTGGAGGTCAGTGGATCCTCCACGCCATCGGATGGAGAATCTGCAAAAAACATCCAGAAATGAGGAAACATTTCTTAAATTAAGTGTATTTATCACTAACTTGAGGAGGTAAATAAGATACTTTGCCAAAGGAGCATTTTTACTCTTAAAATGAGATAATTTGATAATATGCTCTTTAAATAAGACAATGTGGTAGTTTTTAAATGTAAATCATTGCCTGGTGGGTGACCTACCTCCTCCTTTCACTTATTTTAGTAAAATAATTTAGATTTCAGTGTTTTGCTGTGTAACTCTGAGGTTGTTAAGCCTCTGTGTGTTTTTTATCTTCCCAGCAGCAGCTCTTGGAGCTTTGGGGCAGGAGCTGCCTTCGACCCCCCATGGTTGCACTGAAGGAAGCTGCTACCCAGCGACTGGAAACCTGCTGATTGGACGGGCTGCCAACCTGACGGCCAGCTCCACGTGTGGCCTGGAGGTACCGGAGCAGTTCTGCATCGTCAGCCACCTGCAGGTGAGGAAGAGGAGCACAGCGACCTGCAGAAAGCTGGGGGTGAAATGGGGCTTATTGCTCATGGAGGGTGTGAATGCTGCCAGACGTTCTTCTGCTAAGCTAGCAGTCCCTCTAGCTGTGAGGTCTCAGCTTGGTCATCAGTCTGTTCATAGGACCTTCTTTACAGGAAGGACAAACTGTCCTCGCTCCTCCTCCATCACTCTTCACCACTTAATCTCTCGATCATCTGTCTGTTTGTTTGTGTCTCTGATGAGCGACGCCTCTCCACAGCTACCTGGACCTGCAGCTGCAGACACACAGTCAGCCTGTTTAACCCAGCAGCTCTGCTTGACTTTCCCTCTATCTGACTTTTATCTTTCAACTCTGCGATTGTTGTTCTTCTCTGTGCTAAATGAGAGCCAGGGGCGGATTTAAGAATTGTGGGGCCCTAGGCAAAGACAGGCAGGGGCCCCTCTGATCTGAGAAGACATCAAACAGCCCCATTCTCCAGATGTAGAAATGTTAATAGAATAGACATCCATTATCTGTTCTAGGTTGTGTCCCTCTCTTCTTGTCCCTTTTCTTCTTGTTTTCCTCTCTATGTTTTGTACTCAGCTGACTTTTCATGCTGTCTCTAAAGGAATGAAAGATTTTTTCCAAGCACTAAGCTCACTTAGCTGATTGCTCCTTCCTGTGTTTCCAAAAAGGCCAAAGTAAATAACCCAGTCCTTCTTTTCACTGTAGACAAGCCATGATCTGCTTATCTGTTCTCCATTTTTCATTTGGATGAAATAATAGCTGCATGAATCATGACAGCAGACAAGATAGAGGAGAGCAGGAGGCGGGGTTACCAATCTACTCGCTCTGGAGAGCAGAGTTCGCTGCTTTTAGATGTTGTCTCCAAAGTCTCCAGTAGCAGAAAAAAGTCTCTAGATTTGGCGCTAGGAGCTTTTTAGAAATCAAAGTGCTAGAGGGGTCTGAAAAGTGGCTAAATATAGCGACTAAAGCGCTAAGTTGGCAACACTGCTCTTTGCATGGTTTGTTTTCAAATGGTTTGCTGCTGTCTGTTTGGACCTTTCTGAACATGTGCAGCAAATGGACTGATCCAATATGGTGGACACTGAAGGGGGGGGCTGAGACACACTTAACATTATCAGCGTTCTGATGGCATTTTAGCCAAAGGATTTTTATCAAAAACATAATTAATGTGCAGAAATAAGGAATAGTTGTATTAACATTACATGTAAACAGAGTTTTATGGGGCCCCCGGTAACTTGGGGCCCTAGGTGATTGCCTGGTATTGCCTGATGGTAAATTCCTCCCTGAGGAGAGTCAGAATAATACAGAAAGCTTTACTCTTGCTGGGAGGAATCCAGTCGATAAGAGGCTGGACAGCATTCTTTATTGACAAGCATTCCCTTCTTTAATGGATTGAATCCTGTCCATACCTCGGGGGGGGGGTTGTCATGTTCACCGTCGTGTTTACATTCATCCCTCACATCCATGCGTTTCCGTGCTCCGACATGTCGGTGCCTGCACTTCCACCGCTTCAGGGCTGGAATATTCACCGCTGGTAACTTCCAGGTGAATGTAATTGACGCTCTGGCTTCCGACACCCGTACTTATAACAGAACGAGCCAGGATGCAGTGACAGCCTGGTATGTCTGCAGAAAACCTGCTTCTTTCAGCGCCTGAATGTCCCGCATTCATCTGTCACTCATGTTGGACATTTGTTCTCTAGGTGGTGTTTTTCTTCTCATCACGATCAGATTCCAAGGTCTTTTTTTTCTAGTTTCCTTTTCAAGTCTACTTTTCAGCTACGCTCCTCCGTGGAGTCAATACATCTGAAGCTTTAGACCGGTTTTAGACAGGATCTGCTAAGATGGGAAAGAAATGTGAGGAAGGGGCGTAAACGCAGAGAGGCAAACAGAGTGTTTGGCAGAAGGTGATAAAAGCAGCAAAATCTGGGTTTCACAGCCTTGGTGGAGATAGAAAGGAACCTGAATGAGGGAGGAGGGAACTACTTTCTGTTTTTTGTAAACCTACAACAAAGAAGTGTTGTCGAATCAGCTGCAGCCTTTAGGCTGCAAAAAGCTTTTAGTTAATCTGACCAGGCTTGACTAATGGGACATAAATAGGAGGAGGGAAGGAAGAAAAATCATTGGTAGAGAAGAAACTGGAGAAAAACAACGATTATGGTTGAATCCTGTTGCATCCGTGCACCTCTGCAGTTTACATTACAAACTGCAGGAGCCTCATTAGTAGGAAGGTCAGTGTGTCGATTTGATGACGTGATACACAGGAAGAAATTGGCGTGTCTGCAGATCTGTGGGTTTGCTTCCTTTTCCCGGCTCAGCGAGTCGATTCCATGTGTTCATAGCCTCGTCGCTGTTGGCAGCTTAATCACCCCTGACAACCGTCTAATTAAGAGACGCTGCCCTGGAATCCACTGGCTCTTTGTGCCAACTTACCCTCATGTCTGTGTTCACCCCCCCGTTAGCTCTATCCGAGCCCCTCTTCCAGGCCTCTTCTCCAGGGCACCCCTTTCCCCTCACTCTCCTCCTTCTAAAAAACTAGGAATCCTTTCGCTGACAAGACTGTGACTTCGACCGTTTTCCATCCTAATTTTATGCTACAAACTGTTTTCTATGAGTCCTCCTCTGTGGTACTGAATAGTTTATTCATTTTAAAAGGCTCATGATCTGCCCTGATAGCTCACCTTAACTGTTCATTTCACACACCTGCCTAACTCTGCCTGGTTTTCTAATCATCAATCATCTCATCCACCTGCGTCTGTTCCTTTATATTCAGTTCAGCCTGAGGCATCGTGGCCAGATCAGTTTTGTGTTTCCTGGTCTGTTTAGTTAGTTTTAGTTTAGTTCCAAGGTTGTGTTTGGTTGCTGGCGGCCAGCGGATTGAGAGGGTCTTTTCTTCTGATCGGGTTCTGGTCCTTCTCAGCGAAGCCTTCAGGGTTTTGGCTGAGAGGGTCACTTTTATTCCCGTAATCTTGGCTCAAAGGAGGAGGTCTGTTTAAAGTCCTGCTGAAATCATCGACCATTGAGCCTGCCCGTCTGCATCTGAGCCTGCCCGTCTGCATCTGAGCCTGCCCGTCTGCTTCTGAGCCTGCCCGTCTGCTTCTGAGCCTGCCCGTCTGCATCTGAGCCTGCCCGTCTGCATCTGAGCCTGCCCGTCTGCATCAGAGCCTGCCCGTCTGCATCAGAGCCTGCCCGTCTGCATCTGAGCCTGCCTTCTGCTTCTGTGCGTGTCTGTCTGCATCAGAGCCTGCCCGTCTGCATCTGAGCCTGCCCGTCTGCATCTGAGCCTGCCCGTCTGCATCTGAGCCTGCCCGTCTGCATCCGAGCCTGCCCGTCTGCATCTGAGCCTGCCCGTCTGCATCTGAGCCTGCCCGTCTGCATCCGAGCCTGCCCGTCTGCATCTGAGCCTGCCCGTCTGCATCTGAGCCTGCCCGTCTGCATCCGAGCCTGCCCGTCTGCATCCGAGCCTGCCCGTCTGCATCTGAGCCTGCCCGTCTGCATCTGAGCCTGCCCGTCTGCATCAGAGCCTGCCCGTCTGCATCTGAGCCTGCCCGTCTGCATCAGAGCCTGCCCGTCTGCATCTGAGCCTGCCTTCTGCTTCTGTGCGTGTCTGTCTGCATCAGAGCCTGCCCGTCTGCATCAGAGCCTGCCCGTCTGCATCTGAGCCTGCCCGTCTGCATCCGAGCCTGCCCGTCTGCATCCGAGCCTGCCCGTCTGCATCTGAGCCTGCCCGTCTGCATCCGAGCCTACCCGTCTGCATCCGAGCCTGCCCGTCTGCATCCGAGCCTGCCCGTCTGCATCCGAGCCTGCCCGTCTGCATCCGAGCCTGCCCGTCTGCTTCTATGCGTGTCTGTCTGGGCATGCCTCTGGACCCCTCTGCCTCTGAACCAGCCTAAAACGCTCTGAGGATTCCTGGAACCAAGGATCCATCTGTTCCTCGGTGGATCAGAACTTCTGATCAGCTGAGGACTCCTGGATTCCTGGACTGTTGCTGCCTGATCCGTTTTCCCCTGACCTGGACCGGCCTCCTGCTTGGTCTCTGGGGCTGCAGCATCTGGGGCATTCTGGGCGACGCACGCCGCGTCTGGTTGGCGGCCCATCGGCTGGATCGCACCATTTACAAGGAGATGGACTGAACTGTGACTCACTCATGTTATCATCTCCTGTCAGATGATCTTTGTTTGTTACTTACCTGTGTTTCTCCCTCCAGAGAGTCAGAGAAGGGTTGCACCCCCCCCTCCTTGCAGCTCCACAGTTTTGTTTCAGTTTTTATTATTTTAATAAATGTTTTGAACTTTCCTACTGACTGTCTCACCTTCAATACTGCATCCAGATGTCCCTGCTTCTGACAATATGTCTGTTAAAATCATTTAAACCTTTAAATTTGATCATCTTTTGACCTAAAATACTAATTCTATTTGGATTTTTAATAAAATAACTGAAGGAGCTCAAAAGGTTGCAGAAAAATAATGGAATATATTCTAATTCCCTCACAAATAAAATCAGAGAAATGTGTATGGTTGAGTTTAGCTCACTGAGATGCCAACTGATCAGGAAGCAGATCCCACTGGATGTATCTGTCTCAGCGTAACGCTGCTGTTTTCTGCAGCCCTCGGGCTTTTGCATCAACAGAAATTCAATATCAAGATCACCACTGTGATCATTGTCACCATCCTCTGCAAACCCACCAAGACATGGCTGATTAGTAACAATCACCCATGTCTCGGTGGGTGTTTCTGATAGCAGTTTACCATGAAGTTCGTCTGAGGAACCCCTGCTGGTCCGCTTCATGCAGTCGATCCAGATCCCCTGATCTACAGATCAGATCAGTTCACTTATTCATCCAGATTCAGTTTATTCCTGTGTGCAAATTATAAAGACAGGTTATGTAGATAATCAAAGCCACTGGCGTCCCTCAGCCTGTCAGGGAAATGACCAGGTACGCTGCATCAGTTGTCCTGGTAGAGAAGCCAATCAGTAGTTTTATGGTCTAAATGAAGAAAATGGTAGAAAATACAAAATAAAAGCACAAAATCTGAGGGAAAACGTTCTGTTTGTGGAGCCAGAAAACGTCTCTGCAGATTTTCCTCTGTTCAAATTATGGTGAATGATTCAACACTTCTAGATCTAGATTTATGGATCCTGGTAGGAACCATATCATTTGTTTAAAGCAAATGAGAAGTTTCCAACCCTGAGAAGACGGCAGCAGCGTTCTAACATGGATGTCGGATGATCAGACAGAACGGCGCTCTAAACGGCTCGACCATATTAGAGAACAGAAGCGGTATTGGTAAAGATCGTGACGATGATATCTGTAGAATATACCAGAGCGACCATCGCTCTCTGACCTTTAAGATTTGGGATGATGTCATCTGTGTCCAGTAATTCCAGGTCGTTCTTTCCAACTGTCCCAATATTCTGTTGGCATAGAATATAAAGGGGGGGGAGATAAGCGACCAATCATGAGTCAGATGAATGATGATGATGAGTTAGATGAATATTTGATGAAGGTTCTGCTGCTCTTGTATAATTCTTCAGCCCTTGAAGTTGTTCGTATATCTCAATATAAGTTTTAAAACATTTAACCTGTGAACTATCCGGGCTTATCTGTGAAAAGACGCGCAGGAAAAGCTGCAGCATCAGCAGAACAAACCGCTTTCTGTCATATCTGCCTCACCAGGATGTGGACAAGTGCTTTGAGTGTGATTCCCGGCGGCCGTACGATCCGGAGCGCCACAGAAACAGCCACCGCATTGAAAATGTCATCTACCTAACGGACCAGAATGGGGACGAGACCTTCTGGAAGTCGGTCAATGGTGCGTATTCCCTGTTGGCTCCAGAGGAACATGTTTCCTTAGAGGGAGGATCCGCTGCTGGGCTGGGAGGCGCTGATGGTTACGCCCCCTGGTGGCCACGATCTCGGGCAGAGTGTCAGTTCTGTCAGCTCCTCCAGAACAGGCTGCAGTTGATGTTTTTCAGCTACATGGAGGTCCGCCCTCTTCAGCACGTTAATCAAAGAGCCACAGCAGCCGCCATGCTGAGGAGGACGGACCGCCATGATGCGGGAGAACATCAGCCTCAACCAGAGTTCTTAAGTAACAACGTACAGATAATTTGTTTCCTTACTTCTGCAGAAATGTCGGCTATCTATACTTTACTAGAGGAATTATTTTTACATTCTACTCCTCGCATTTTTAAAATAGACTCGTTAGTTTTGTTTCATTTAAGCTCCTTTTCATTATGGCCTGTTTGTATTAATAAAAATAAAAACCATCAAAATAATTAGTTTCATCCAGGCAATGAATTTCTTTGTGGTTGGACTCGGTGCTGCCCCAACCTGTTGCTCACCACTAAGAAAATTAAGTCTAAGAAAGTTTTCATCCAGAATTAGAGAAATGTTCCTTTTATAGGGTAGATCAGGAAAGCTTCTGGCATTAGCATTTTTTCCCTGATTACTTTTACTTTTATACTTTAAGTAGTTTTAAAAATGGTATTTTAAACTTACAGGAGTAAAAGTAAGTGTTTTTAAACAGTAGGATTTAAACTGGAGTAATTAAAATGAATGCTTTGGACACATGTGGTTCCAACTATAGATATTCTAGTGGAGCTAATTGACAATCACTCCTGGAGAGGTGAGGAAACATCTTCGATAAACAGAGACAAAGTCCGGTAGGATTCCTGCAGACGTGTAGCGGCCATTTTCTCTCCAGTTTCTGCCTGAAAATGTGCATCTCTGCATTAAACCAGGGAGCTGCTTTCTACTTTTTAGATCTTCTTTTCCAAAGGGGCTGCATTGTCTAAGGCATTACGCAGAGAACTAGCAACCCCATCAATAAATCATCAGTTTGTAAAGGGGAATAAATTAAATAGTTGACCTCTGTACTATTGCTAAGGTGTAGGAAGTAGATAAAAAGTGGAACAGATTCTTTCAAAGTTCACTATCTGATAATGATCTGCTATAGTAGTTGAAGGTTATCTCTTGGTATGTTCCTCACAGGTAAGGAAGACGTCAGCATCCGGCTGGACCTGGAGGCTGAGTTCCACTTCACGCATCTCATCATGAAGTTTAAGGTAAGGTCATTTGATGCTACATCAGGAAATTAATGCTTTTCCTTACAAAGGTAGCTGAAAGCTGCTGCTCATCCATCAACGCTGAGCTTATAGTTCCTGCTGTTTGCATCTGATGGAACACTTCATGGGAGAATGAAAGGTCAAATGAACAGAGAAACAGGGTTGTTCAGGTTTTTGAGATGTGCAGCTAAATATTAGCCTTAACTTACAGTTTTTAGTTTTATTTCCCCCAGTTCGGCACTTTTGATGGTTTGAAGTTCACCTCCACCTTTCCCCACCCCTCTACATCCTTGGTTCTCAGGCAGAGAGCTGAGTGTTTCTTTGGCCTTTCTGATTGTCCTTTATTTTCTGAACTGTAGTGAAGGTTTGTTTGTTAGGCGCAGCCATCACAGCACAGATCCGAGGAGGAATCTATTTCTGAACGTCTGGTGACCTCTAACCCCTGAGGACTTTCTCTTTGTGCTCTAATCATATCCCTGTTTTCCAAACCTCTTTAGACCTTCCGCCCTGCTGCTTTGATCATCGAGCGCTCTGCTGATTTCGGTCGTACATGGCGTCCCTACCGCTACTTCGCCTCCAACTGTACCAGAAGCTTCCCCGGCATCCCCGTCAACGGCTTGCACCAAAATAATGACATCATCTGTGAGGAGCGCTACTCTGACATTGAGCCCTCTAAAAACGGAGAGGTACGCTAAAAGGTTTGGGACCTTCAGAGGTTGTTGGGTCCATTTAAATTCCACAATAAATGATAATGAAAAGGAATACCAGCTGTTGCCTCCTGGCAGAAGGTTCAGAATCCCAAAAACCAAACACAACCGCTAAATACTCCTTTACAGTGTCTGGTCCTTGGCTGGTCTTTGGCTGGTCCTTGGCTGGTCTTTGGCTGGTCTTTGGCTGGTCTTTGGCTGGTCCTTGGCTGGTCTTTGGCTGGTCCTTGGCTGGTCCTTGGCTGGTCCTTGGCTGGTTCTCGGCTGGTCCTTGGCTGGTCTTTGGCTGGTCCTTGGCTGGTCTGTGGCTGGTCTTTGGCTGGTCTTTGGCTGGTCTGTGGCTGGTCTTTGGCTGGTCTTTGGCTGGTCTTTGGCTGGTCTTTGGCTGGTCTTTGGCTGGTCTTTGGCTGGTCTTTTGCTGGTCCTTGGCTGGTTCTCGGCTGATCCTTGGCTGGTCTTTGGCTGGTCCTTGGCTGGTCTGTGGCTGGTCTGTGGCTGGTCTTTGGCTGGTCTTTGGCTGGTCTTTGGCTGGTCCTTGGCTGGTCTTTGGCTGGTCCTTGGCTGGTCTTTGGCTGGTCCTTGGCTGGTCCTTGGCTGGTTCTCGGCTGGTCCTTGGCTGGTCTTTGGCTGGTCTGTGGCTGGTCTGTGGCTGGTCTTTGGCTGGTCTTTGGCTGGTCTGTGGCTGGTCTTTGGCTGGTCTTTGGCTGGTCTTTGGCTGGTCTGTGGCTGGTCTTTGGCTGGTCTTTTGCTGGTCCTTGGCTGGTTCTCGGCTGATCCTTGGCTGGTCTTTGGCTGGTCCTTGGCTGGTCTGTGGCTGGTCTGTGGCTGGTCTGTGGCTGGTCTGTGGCTGGTCTTTGGCTGGTCTGTGGCTGGTCTTTGGCTGGTCTTTGGCTGGTCTTTGGCTGGTCTTTGGCTGGTCTGTGGCTGGTCTTTGGCTGGTCTTTGGCTGGTCTTTGGCTGGTTCTCGGCTGGTCCTTGGCTGGTCCTTGGCTGGTTCTCGGCTGGTCCTTGGCTGGTCTTTGGCTGGTCCTTGGCTGGTCTGTGGCTGGTCTGTGGCTGGTCTTTGGCTGGTCTTTGGCTGGTCTTTGGCTGGTCTGTGGCTGGTCTTTGGCTGGTCTTTGGCTGGTCTTTGGCTGGTCTGTGGCTGGTCTTTGGCTGGTCTTTGGCTGGTCTTTGGCTGGTTCTCGGCTGGTCCTTGGCTGGTTCTCGGCTGGTCCTTGGCTGGTCTTTGGCTGGTACTTGGCTGGTCTGTGGCTGGTCTGTGGCTGGTCTTTGGCTGGTCTGTGGCTGGTCTTTGGCTGGTCTTTGGCTGGTCTGTGGCTGGTCTTTGGCTGGTCTTTGGCTGGTTCTCGGCTGGTCCTTGGCTGGTCCTTGGCTGGTTCTCGGCTGGTCCTTGGCTGGTCTTTGGCTGGTCCTTGGCTGGTCTGTGGCTGGTCTTTGGCTGGTCTGTGGCTGGTCTGTGGCTGGTCTTTGGCTGGTCTGTGGCTGGTCTGTGGCTGGTCCTTGGCTGGTCTTTGGCTGGTCTGTGGCTGGTCTTTGGCTGGTCTTTGGCTGGTCTTTGGCTGGTCCTTGGCTGGTCTTTGGCTGGTCCTTGGCTGGTCCTTGGCTGGTCCTTGGCTGGTTCTCGGCTGGTCCTTGGCTGGTCTTTGGCTGGTCTGTGGCTGGTCTGTGGCTGGTCTTTGGCTGGTCTTTGGCTGGTCTGTGGCTGGTCTTTGGCTGGTCTTTGGCTGGTCTTTGGCTGGTCTGTGGCTGGTCTTTGGCTGGTCTTTTGCTGGTCCTTGGCTGGTTCTCGGCTGATCCTTGGCTGGTCTTTGGCTGGTCCTTGGCTGGTCTGTGGCTGGTCTGTGGCTGGTCCTTGGCTGGTCTGTGGCTGGTCTGTGGCTGGTCTTTGGCTGGTCTGTGGCTGGTCTTTGGCTGGTCTTTGGCTGGTCTTTGGCTGGTCTTTGGCTGGTCTGTGGCTGGTCTTTGGCTGGTCTTTGGCTGGTCTTTGGCTGGTTCTCGGCTGGTCCTTGGCTGGTCCTTGGCTGGTTCTCGGCTGGTCCTTGGCTGGTCTTTGGCTGGTCCTTGGCTGGTCTGTGGCTGGTCTGTGGCTGGTCTTTGGCTGGTCTTTGGCTGGTCTGTGGCTGGTCTTTGGCTGGTCTTTGGCTGGTCTTTGGCTGGTCTGTGGCTGGTCTTTGGCTGGTCTTTGGCTGGTCTTTGGCTGGTTCTCGGCTGGTCCTTGGCTGGTTCTCGGCTGGTCCTTGGCTGGTCTTTGGCTGGTCCTTGGCTGGTCTGTGGCTGGTCTGTGGCTGGTCTTTGGCTGGTCTGTGGCTGGTCTTTGGCTGGTCTTTGGCTGGTCTGTGGCTGGTCTGTGGCTGGTCTTTGGCTGGTCTTTGGCTGGTTCTCGGCTGGTCCTTGGCTGGTCCTTGGCTGGTTCTCGGCTGGTCCTTGGCTGGTCTTTGGCTGGTCCTTGGCTGGTCTGTGGCTGGTCTTTGGCTGGTCTGTGGCTGGTCTGTGGCTGGTCTTTGGCTGGTCTTTGGCTGGTCTGTGGCTGGTCTTTGGCTGGTCTTTGGCTGGTTCTCGGCTGGTCCTTGGCTGGTTCTCGGCTGGTCCTTGGCTCGTCTGTGGCTGGTCCTTGGCTGGTCTTTGGCTGGTCTGTGGCTGGTCTTTGGCTGGTCTTTGGCTGGTCTGTGGCTGGTCTGTGGCTGGTCCTTGGCTGGTCTTTGGCTGGTCTGTGGCTGGTCTTTGGCTGGTCTTTGGCTGGTCTTTGGCTGGTCTGTGGCTGGTCTTTGGCTGGTCTGTGGCTGGTCTTTGGCTGGTTCTTGGCTGGTCTTTGGCTAGTTCTCGGCCAGCCAAGGACCAGCCAAGGACTAGCCAAAGAAAGTGTGGGAATTTCGAATGGCTGCTACCTTTATCTCTGTGGAAAGACAGGAGCCACATTGGGGAGGGAGGGGGAAAAGCACATTTCTCACTTAATCCTTGACAGGATACCGTTTGAGATAGAAAAGCACCTCAGCATGTCTCTGTTTTTCCTCTGATCAGGTTCCTTACAGTGAAGCTCAGTCTTTCAGGCAGATTCTGTCTCAGTTTTAATGTAACTTTTCTTTAATTTCTTCCCTAATCTGCTCTGTGATGAAGGTCATCTTCAAAGTTCTGGATCCAGCCATCCCGGTGGAAGATCCCTACAGCTTGGACATCCAAGGTCAGTGCAGATAAAGATGTTTAACAACGTAACAGTAACAAGGCTAACAGGAAACCTTCACATTTCCATCTTATCTTCTCCATAAACAAGCCAGGGCTGCGACGAGGCGGCTCCCTAACCGCAGCTGTTAGGATGCTACCTGCGTTCAGTTTGCTTGTCTGAACAGGAGGAAACATTCATCATGGTGAAGCTCGATGAAAAACAGCTCCATGGAAGCTGTTCAAAATAGGTCAAACTGCAGCCTACAGACTCCGGCTCGTTTCTCTTCATCTTGCTAAGACATTTTCTAAAGAAAAAGATCTTGAATGACAGAGAATCAGTCCAGAAGTCTGCTGTAATCACTGAGCAGCTCCTGCAGATGCTGAAGGTTTCATTCATGATATTAACGTCATACCTTTTGTTTGAAAGTTCTTTGTTATGAAGCACAGATCATCTCCTTTTTATAATTTTCTAAAGGTTTCAAATCAAGAATAAGAGACAAAGATTCCATCAGTAAATACAATAAAAATTATTAATAAGAGAACAGTTCCCCAAACCAACCTGCCGTCTGAGGCAGCTTTTAAAGGGTTCACTAGTTTAGTTGTATCTGATTATTTTCTGATCATGACCTTTTAATTAGTTTTGTGATCATTATTATATCATCAAACTTGTGATAATTTAATAATGACATCATAATAAGGTGACAAAGCGTCCGGTCCCACCTTGGCTGAGCGACCTCCATCCTTCACCTGACAGTCTGTTGTTTCTACCGTAGACATGATAAACCTAGACGCCTCATTGGACGCTGTCTGCAGCGAGGCCCACGTGCCTAGAGGGCGGCCATCTTGGATGGGACCACAGTTCATACAGCTGCCGTCAGAATGAACAGGAGGCGCCTTAGATCTCATTTTAATCACAAGAAAGACGTGTTAGAAATAATATTACAATAATCTCTTCCATGTCACGACTTAAAAGAACAAAACAAATTATAAAATTACCTTCAGGGTAGATTACACACGTTTATTCAGATTAAAAATTAGTTAAACTGTAACTGGATGAGAATATGTAGAGTTTTGTATTTTGCAATTAAATATTATTATGATAAACACAAAGTTTTGTATAATATTATTATAAGATTAAATTTTATATATATTATATATTTATGTATTTTGCATATAATGCATATTATTATTATTCAGTATTATGAACTATAGAGGAATAATTTTGTTTTTTAAAATTAGTTTTATGTTCATTTTTATTTATTTATTTTCCTTTTAGTCAGATCTTAGTGAATGGTTGTGTTGTGTTTAACTAAAGGCTTTTTGGCTCCTAATGAAGCATCTATGTATACTAGGTCTATGGTTTCTACTGTGACACAGGCAGACATTTGGCCCCGCCCCCTCGCTACACCTTCTGCTCTTTTCTAATCATCAACAGTTTACAGAAGTGTAAAGTAACTTTACTAAAGATATTTTGGTTATATTTTACTGGAGTCATTATATTTTAGAAAGCGTTTTACTTTCTACTCCTTACATTGGAAAAATAAACTTGTTAGTTTTCTTTCATTAAAGCTCATTTTCATCATAGCCTGTTTGTATTTAAAAAATAAAAAAACATAAAAATAATTTGTTTCATCCAGACAATTAATTTCTTTGTGGTTGGACTCGGTGCTGCCCCAACTTGTTGCTCACCACATACCAAAATAAATCATTTTCCAGATGATACAAAGTTAAATGGGACGCTGTTAACATTAGTTATAAAACTAAGAAAATTGAGTCTCAGGAAGTTGGTGAATTTCTGTTCTTTACATTTTTTCCTGCATTACTTTTACTTTTAGTGGAGTAAAAAGGTGAAGTTAAGCCTCTAACTTCTACAAAAGTAATAAACCTGAATACATTGGGCACATCTGACAGTTTATTAAAAAGGTTGTAACTCAGCGATAATAAAATACAATGTTGGAAACATCTTGGTTAACATTTTTATGCTGAATAGATTTAGGAATCGCTGAATATAAAATACGTTCTGCAGGGTAAGAGGGTCCCTGGACTGTAGGGGGGGGGACCATAAAGACCATCAGGTGGATGTTCTACTCGTTAGTTTCTCACATTTCTCAGGAATCGGATCTTGTTGTTATCAAATAAACGACTGAGGCCAAAAATGCTCCAGATGTTGTCTTGGTCTCTTCTGCTGCATCCAGGTGTTTCCCCTCTTTGGTTTGTCATCAGCTTCTTTTTAGCATGCTCTATGTTGTCAGACAGATTCTGTTTTGGGAGTTTATTGATTTTGAAAGGGTTGCACATCTAGAAATACAGCCATAGATTGGCCTCATTTCTATAGTTTCACCTTACCAGCCTAATGTGATCAGATCATACTGGAGTGTTAAACAGAGGAACATCAAGGAGTTTGAGCCCAGCAATGTAGAGAGACTGTAGCAATATCTCACACAAAGCATGCATGCAGCAACAGTGGAGAGGAAAACTCCCTTTTAACAGGAAAAAACCTCCAGCAGAACCAAACTCAGTGTGAGCGGCCATCTTCCAAGGCCGACTTGGAGACAGAAGCAGACACAAAAAAAATAACATAGAAGCACTGATCTATAAACTCTTTCTATGTTAGAAAAGCTAACACTGAATTAGCTCCACAGGCAGCTCTATCAAGGAAGGAAACGGTTAACCAGATGAGTTCTGATCACATTAAAGAGGATTTAAAATGTTCAGTGAAAACATTCAGACCAGTCCTTCCACTTAACCTCCGTCTCACAGTTATGCACTCCTTGGTGTGGCCTGATAACACAACCTTAACTACTCTGCAGAGCTCAGTCTGAGAGTTTGGCCAAACTCAGCTTCAACCTGCTGAACAGGGATGGAAAAGCTGCTTTATGAAGGATTTCCGCAGAGTCGCTCTGCTAGTAACACAAAATGTGGCTCAACGCTATGATGTTAGTTTCTATTTAAACTTTTAATCAGGTTCATTCCAAACGTTTCTCTTCTCAGAACTTCTGCGGATCACCAACTTGCGCATCAACTTCACCAAGCTCAACACGCTGGGAGACGACCTGCTGGACCGCCGCTACGACGTCTTACAGAAGTACTACTACGCCATCAACGAGCTGGTGGTCCGAGGGAGCTGCTTCTGCTATGGACACGCCTCAGAGTGCGCCCCAGTGCCGGGGGTCAACACCCACCAGTTCGGCATGGTGGGTTAATGGACTCATTTTCTGTAGCCTGAGGAGGAATCAGGGAGGTGGATCGGCTGCTCAGGCTGATATGCAGACAGACACGCCTACTGGCACTTTGCTAGATGCTCCTGTAGCCATCAGAACTGCAGCCATCCAGCCGTGCCATGATTGTCCGCTTCTCTGGACGCCGGTGCGGTTAATTTATGCTTACTGGTTTCTGGATGCTAAGCTAACATGTAAGCAGAGTTTTCTAGAGGCTGGGGGTAAGGGGCCCATCAGAAGCTCCTCGTTAGCCTGTCCAGCAGTCTGATGTGGTTTGAAACCATTGTACCATACCATGCCAACTTTATTTATGAAGCACTTTATGCACCGGACAGGACCAAAGTGCTGTACACAATCATAAAATACAATAAAATTATAAAATAGAAAAAAAACGAGTGTAAATACATATTAGTATACAAAAAGAATAAAACAAAGTAAAACCTCTCAAATTGTGCCAAAAGCCAAGGGAAAAAAGATGAGTCTTGTTATATTGGATTGTCCAGCTTTGTCCAGCTGTCCTGCATCTCATGGAGGTGCCGCCAAAGATGTAGCCTCCAACAGGCCTCTGAACAATTAGGCTTAGGGTTGGGGTTAGGAGGGGGGAGTCTGTCCATCAAAACCTCTCACCTACGATAAAATGCACTTAATGAACCTATTTTCTTTGATCAACCATGTTTCTCCTGGTTATTCCTTGCTAACTTGTGGTTCTCCTGGATTCTGATTGGTTAGATCCACGGACGCTGCGTTTGCAAACATAACACTGAAGGTCTGAACTGCGAGCGCTGCAGGGATTTCCACCACGACTCACCATGGAGACCGGCGGAGTCCGAGGACCCTCACACCTGCAGAGGTAGACATCCCAAACCAACAAATATTTCCCGGTCCCTTCAGGTGAATTCCCACCGAAGGCGGAGTCTGTGGAGAGAGCTGTGGATCTACAGAGCATCCCCGTGGAAACACAGTTCAGATTCCTAGGTGGTAACAGTGTTGGCAGCGGTGCTTCCTCTGTCAGTGACCATTACAGGAAACCTTGAGTGGTTCTCTCTGCGTAGCTCATCCTTCCTTCATCCTCAGCTCACTGACAGCAGACTGAACTCATGCTGACCGCACGGTTCCTCCCACTGTGACCGTGTGCTTGGAGCCCTGCATGGTTCCTCCTGTATTTCTTTGCTCTTAGTCATGATCAGAAGAAGCCATCAGCTTCTGACCATTTCAGGCCTGCAGGCTCCTAGTTGTAGAGCTGAAGACCATAGAAACTAAACTGCTCTAGAAAACAGAGCCAAGAGTTTGCTGAAGACCTGAGTGGTTGAAGTGATTCACAGCTGATCTGCAGAATGTTCTCTGCCCACTTCACCACTCTGCCCACAGGACGACTGCTTCATAAACATAAATAGCTGTCTGGTTGTTTATGAACTGATGTGCAGCTGCTGTGCTTGTGTTTCCCTGCAGAGTGTAACTGTAACGGCCACTCAGACCGCTGTCACTTCGACATGGCCGTGTTTTTGGCCACGGGAAACGTCAGCGGCGGAGTCTGTGACCAATGCCTGCACAACACAATGGGACGCAACTGTGAGATGTGCAAACCGTTCTACTACCAAGACCCAAACAGGGATACCCGGGACCCCCGTGTCTGTGTCGGTGAGGCCTTCTCTTGTATGCTGTGACACTAACTGAGCTCCTCAGCAGACCCAGAGGCTGCTCTACGGATCCGTTAGAGCAAAACTGATCAGTCAGCTAAAAGACAGCCAGGAGCAAACAGTCAGAGCAGTGCAGGGGGAATGATTGGATGGGAGGAGCTCTTGGTTTCTCCTCCATCTGACTCTGACCCTGTTCTATGATGTAGAGCAGGGATTCACCCTCAGCTGTCAGCACAGGTTTCCCTCTTCTAGACATATTGTGTCATAAAAAGGACAATTAGAGTTCCCCCATTTATTAGAAGCAATGGTTTGGAGATCACCTGCAGGACACATTTGCAAACTGTGTCACTGAATACTGACACCTGCTGGACATTTAAAATCCCTACATGCAGCCTCTTTGACAAACTAAACTGACACTGATTGGATGACCTGTAATAATATTTTTTTTGACTAGTGTTCTCCTTTGGGATTTTTTTCATACCAAAAACCTCTGAGTTCCTCTGAGTAACTCCCTTATAATCATATATAAATTGAATTGGAAACAGACATTAGAGTCAGCCTGTCGGGGTGAGGATCTACAGCCTGCATCCAGTGATCAGCAGCTGGATCAGCTGGTAGGTTCAGGTCTGAAGCTCATATCTCTGACCGCTCGCTGCAAAGTGAAAGAAACTGTAAAGTTTCAGCTTCAGTCTTGAGACAACGTGGTTTTATTCATGTTCTGGTTTTTACTGTTTGTTCTTCTGATTGCGGTGTGACCTTTTTAACTTTTAAACACTTTTTAATGACCTTTGATTTGGGTGATTATTGTCGACTCTGGATGAAGATAACGCGTGTTGCTGCTTTGCCCCCAGCCTGCGATTGCGACCCGGTGGGGTCGTTAGAGGGAGGCGTGTGTGACAGCCGCACCGACCCATCGATGGGAATGATCGCAGGACAGTGTCGCTGCAAAGCCAACGTGAAAGGCGCGCGCTGCGACGACTGCAAGCCGGGCTTCTACGGGCTGAGCCAGAGCGACCCTGTGGGCTGCCAGCGTAGGTGTTTGCCTTCCTCTGCATCTCAGGCTGCTGCTGCAGCAGAAACCAGCATCAGAATTTGTGTGTTTTGCCTCCAGCTTGTAATTGTGACCCCCGTGGTGTCATCATGGCGGATGCTCCATGTGATCAGATCAGTGGGGACTGCTCCTGCAAAAGATACGTCACAGGCCGCTACTGCAACCAGTGTCTGGTCAGTTCTCTCTAATCTTCAGAGGTTTAATGTCTCCATGTTGGACTCTTAGAACAGCAACTTTGACTGAATGTTTGAGTGGTGATAACTGCCCCCTAAATCTATATTCTCTACATCTATTCTCACATCTACAGCCAGAATACTGGGGCCTCAGTAATGACTTGGGTGGCTGCAGACCCTGTGATTGTGACTTTGGTGGAGCTTATAACAACAGGTAACCGATCTAACCGGGTTTAAGGTGTCAGACTGAATGCAAACGTGTGCTGAGTGTTTATTGAAAGGTCTTTGTCTGTGATGTCCCTGCAGTAATGGAGAACTGTTTTCTGTCTGTTGGAATAAGGTGCACCATGGAGAGTGGGCAGTGCGTCTGCAGGAGTCATCTCATCGGCCGACAGTGTTCAGAGGTGCAGCCTGGTTATTTCTGTGCTCCTCTGGACTTCTACAAATACGAGGCTGAAGAAGCTACCAGGCACTCCACCACCGACCCGTCGCTGCCGGTGAGCTCAGCAGCGCCTTTCCCTCCTCGGGTCGCAGCCTCTCCTGCCCTCTGGAGAAAACCTCTGGGATATTCCCATCTTAGAGTTTAGAGACGACATTTTTAGGCCAGATGTTCTCCCTGCTGCAGCAAATACTTTATGGATCCCAAAGGAAATTAAATGCTGCAGTAACTCATCAACAAGATGTTACAGTTGTTGATGCCATAGACATAATGTAAGAGTAGACCGCACATTGGCAGCTTTCACCTTTGGGCGCTGACGGGATTTGTTGCCGCCATCTTGGGGAGGTCGACGGCTCTGATCAGTGTAATGTGTTGAGCAGGAACAGACTGTCAACAGGCTGTCAACAGGCTAGGGAAATAAATCTACAGATCTATGTGTTTAAGATCAGATATCGGCCCAAATCACTGCGTCCTCATTTGTATTTAATAAAAATAATCAAATGATGATTATGTCCCATCAAATCTGCGAGAACCCTGTTAAACTCCAGTGTGGCTCTAGCAAGGCTATGCAACTTCTACCAAAATGTAAATATGCAGTTTCAGTCTTAATTTAAACCAAAATCTTGTTTTTTTTCTGAGTCTCCTCTGTATGGAAAACAAGCATCGATGGTTTCCGGTAGACGTGCAGGTTTACAGACTAGGTCTTATTTTCTCCATTGATCCGAACATTTCCGTCCAGAACATCTGGGTCTTTAAGTAAACATCAGTTGATCAGGAGGTGCAGACAGCTGTGACAGGGTTTCATTGTCCTCTCAGCCTCCATCGCTCTCCTGTCCACAGTCTTTTTTTGTTTGGGGATTTTACTGCTGCGTTCCTGTTGCAGTTTAGAGTGTAGAAATAAAAAAAAACCTACCAAGATGGCGTCCTTGGAAGCGTCTTTTTCATCAGTCTGCAGTTTAAAAAAGCAGTTTTCTTGGCTATAGCTCCAGGAAGTAAAGGGGCAAACAATGAACCGCCATCATCTGAGGAGGGTTTTACCGCCGCCATTGAAAAACTGTCTGTTCCTGCAAGTTAAATGCCATGGATCACAACGCCCTCGTTTAAGCCATCACTTGTCCTTACATCAGGAGGATGTAACGATCAGAATCAACAATCCATAACAATCATTTTCCAGCCGTTATTTAAATCGGAAGCACAGGAAGCAATTAAATTCTATTCAGTTTATTTCTATAGCTCCAATTCACATCATGTCATCTCAGGTCACTTTCCAGTTCACCAGATCATCCAGTCAGATTGATTCAAAGTTTTCTATCTAAGGAAAACCAGCTGATTGCATCGACTCATTGACTCTTCAGCAATCCCTCACACTAAGCATGCTTGTAGCGACAGTGGAGAGGAAAAACTCCCTTTGAACAGGAAGAAACCTCCAGCAGAACCAGGCTCAGTGTGAGCGGCCATCTGCTGAGGCCCACTGGGGTTCAAGGAGACAGAAGCAGGCATAGAAAAAGAAGCATAGATACAAAAGGCAACTGTCAACCAGCTCCACAGGCGGCCCCGTCCAGGAAACACACAGCCAGGCAGACGAGCTCCGAGCCAGCTCCCATGTCAGAGGATGAAGAGAGCACATCCAGTTAGTCACAGTCAGAGAAACAGGACTACACTGGAAAACAGGCCAAGCTCCAACATCTAGAAACAAAGGTGTTGATGGCAGCAGCACAGCTGATATTTCTCTCCAGGATGGAGTCACAGCCAAACAGGAACAGACCAGATGAAGCTACTATGAGAAAAAGCAGAGAGAGCAGAACGTTAGAGATTGAACTAACAGATTCTGCAGAGTGGGAGAATAGAGATAGAATGAAGCAGAATGATGAAAAAGGGGTCCCTATGTCCTCCAGCAGTCTAAGCCTATAGCAGCAGAACTATAGAGATAGATCATGATAACCTGAGCCACTCTAACTAGAAGCTTTATCAAAAAGGAAAGTTTTAAGCCTAGCCTTAAAAGGAACTGCTCTGCTTCTTCTTTCTTCATCAGTCTCCTGTCTCTGTCCTTCAGACAAGCTTGCAACATGTCTACAGCAGGAATGTGAGACGATCAGTGGCTTTGGAATGTGGTGAAAGAAAAGCTGTATGGTGAAACACACAGTAAGATGAGATGGATGATATGCTTTAGGCCCTGACAGCCTGTAAAGCTGCTCTTGGAGGGAAAACAGAGACAGTCTCTACCAGCAGCAGCTAACCAGATATTTAGAAGGATAGCATAGAAGCATAGAATCAGACTTCAGCTGTCCTGTTAATCAGAGATTAATGTGGTGAAAACTTTTCAGATTCAGAAGTTTCCATTCACATGGTCTCTATAGCTCCATTTAAAATATCATTGTGAAACTGTGCCGTGATCGGTCTGAGCTCGGTAACCGCGATAACCTCTTCAGCTCTCCACAACCACTATTGAGCATTTTCCCTTTGGATAAACTTTACATGCACCAGTTACCCTCACAAACAACTACAGGTGTTTGGTTCCAGGAACTCAGAGATTCACTGCCACACAGAAAGCCCATATTCTGATCTTCAGGTAACACAGAGTACATGTCAGACTAAATAATACCACTTCAGTATCTAGGTGTTACTTTATTGTATGTCTCACCGAGGAACAGAGGAAAGTTGACTCAAAGTTGGCAGCTGTAGGTTAAAACGAAACATGTTTGACTCTTTGTATTTAAAGAGAGTATTGTTGCAGAATATCTATATATTCTAATGCTCATCATTTCCGAGGAGGATTTAAATGTTGGAAATCCAAACTGAGCCCAAAGTGAAAACGGTTCTGATTTAACATAATTTATAAACACTAACATGACATTTCCCCTCAGTTCCCTTTAGAAAGCTCCTCCACGCTCTGAGCTTATTGATGGGAGTGTCCTCTGTCCCGCCCTCAGGGCCCGGTCCGTCCGCAGGCAGCAGACGACTGCATCCAGCATCTCAGCAACCAGGCCAGGAGGCATCGGCGGCACCGGCGCATTTCAAGCCTGCAGCAGTACCAGGCGGCACTGAGACGCATCCGGCAGCTCCAGCAGACCGTAGGCCTCTTACTGTCTGTCTAACCAAATGAAGACAGCCTGCATCCATGGTTACTCAGCAAATAATCAAGGTTTCAGTCTGCAGGATGGTAGAAGTCATTGAAAAGGTTAAAGCTGCTCTGGAACTCCTCCACATGCTGGTCTGAGGTCAGAGCTGAGGTCATAGGCAAACAGGAAGTAGTGCGTTTTCAGCAGGGATATAATGATCAGGGAGCCGAACACAGACAGACTCTTTTCTGGTTTTTATGCTCAACATCATTTCTGTTTCTGTTGGTCAGTCCTAAACAGAACCTCCAGAACATCCGGCGAGTCGTACCTGCTAACATGTCTGCTTTCCTCTCAGCCGGATGTCACCACTGTACACCGGACCCACGCTCCCAGCTCCAGCGCCACCTGGACCGGGCCTGGCTTCGTTCGTGTCAAAGATGGCGCCGGCTTGGTGTTCACCATCGACAACATCCCCTATGCCATGGAGTACAGGGTGCTGATCCGATACGAGGCCGAGGTGCGTTCAGGTTTGGGCTGTGAGAGACGGCCCCCGATACCCCACCCTCTCTCTCTGTCTCTCCCAGTCTGTCTGTCCCAGTTTGTCTCACCGTGTCTGTCTTTATTCAGTCCACAGAGGACTGGGAGGCTGTGGTGAGCATCACCTCCATGGATCTGCCCACCAGCCTCCGATGTGGAAACCTTCTACCAACTGAGCAGCTCTACACAGAAACGCTGCTGCACAGCAACAGGTAGGGGAGGAGGGGGTTTCAGATATTGCCTCACAGCTGTCCGTTAAACCTGCCCCATCCTGTTGGAGCTGTGAGGGACAGGAGGTTAAATAAACTGCAGCGTTTGGAGAACTTGGGTATAGGAGGACGTCAGCTTGTGAAAACCTGCAGAGCAAACAGAGAAGGCTGTGATCTGAAGATAAACCTTCACCTCGGCTCCAGGTTCATGGAGTCTATGTGGACCTATGGGGCCCAGTTCCTGTTTGTCTGCACAGACTCACTTGGGCCTTTGTTTCATTTTTTTTGTGTGCATACATTTGGAAAAGTTTACCTTTTTCTTCTAAAGACCAGCTGGACGTCCACACCCATCTTTATTCATATCTAGAGGTGGAACCACTGGATGGCAGCTAGAAGAGAAGGAGCTTCACCCATAGAAGGACTTCCTTTGGCTTCTGGAGCAAAAGATGCCAAAAATAATAGATAAACAGAGTCAGCTTTATATTTGGTCACATGACTACTGAAGCCCAATCAGAGCCAAAGTTTTCTGTCTGCTCTATGGAGCATGAGGATGCATGAATATTCCACCACCTGCACAGAATCAGAGGCACCAGGTGGGCTCAGACTAACAAGGAATCAGATTTTGCTCTAAAGGAGGAGATTCTATGGTTAAAGATGTTAGGATGCACCCAGATCTTTGGGGGTGCCTGATGCACCCAGATCTTTAGGGGTGCCTGATGCACCCATATGTTTGGGGGGGCTGATGGTGCCAGATGTTCAGGGGGGGCTGATGCACCCAGATGTTTAGGGGGGGTGATGCACCCAGATGTTTGGGGGGGTTGATGTTCAGGGAGGCCCAATGCACCCAGATGCTTGGGGGGGTGATGTTCAGGGGGGCCCGATGCACCCAGATGTTTGGGGGGGGGCTGATGGTGCCAGATGTTCTGGGGGGTCTGATGCACCCAGATGTTCAGGGGGGGTGATGTTCAGGGGGGCCCGATGCACCCAGATGTTCAGGATCCTGGTCCAGGTGGAGGCTTTTCCATCCTCTGGAGCCTCTGACAGGTTTTTATCTCAGGTTTTCTCTCCACTCTTTCTCTATATTTTCTCTCTCCAGAGTCTATTTCTTGTCGATGCTGGAAAAAATGGTCCCACATCATAATGGTTCCATCGCCATGTTACACAGCAGGGATAGTTCAGTCAGCATATGTTCTCCTCTGCATGTTTTCTCTGTTCCTACTGGACATGAGCTGTTAGGAATTGAGGGAATTATTAATCAGGCTGAACATCAGGGATAAACAATGACCTCAACAGTTAGTGTGTCGGTGATACATGCAGATAAAGTTCTTAGGTTTTTTAAATTTTAAGGATCTTTAACTTAAAATAATATATGAATATATATTCTGAAGCCCAAAGCAGAAATAGTTAATTTCCAAAGTGCTTCTCCATCCTCCTCAGTCCAGCAGGGGGAGCCTCTGTAGCTCTGAGCAGTTTGGTGTGAAAGTGGAAGCCATCATGAGAGAGGAAGAACTTAGAGAAATATCATTATCCGTGGAAATATTGGCCTAAAAATAAAATCCACCGCAGTAACCCATAGATTTGTGATCCAGTGTATTTGTGAGGGATGGAACCTTCCAGAGGTTTAATGGTTAAATGTTTAATGGGCCGTGGTTGTAATCTGGATCTCGTCCCAAACATGCTCTGACTCCAGCATGGTGTGAATCTATGGAGAAACAGTGGAGTTAAACTCAGCTCCAGACCAGTCTGAACATCTTCTGCTAGTGGGAGGTCTTTAGACCCCCCCTCTGTCAGGAACCAATCAGCTACAAATACTGACTTCAATCAGCAGCTTGGTGTCACAGCTGTTTGAGCAGTTAGTGGTCTGCCAGGATTCTAAAACATGATTCAGAATAATTTTTCAACAAATACTTTTTGTTTTAAACCTTTGTAATCAAATAAAACAACATTTAAAATCCACCTGACGTGTGTGACTCTGCGGGAGTAATGCAGCAGCAGGCATTCATTTTAAGCCCCGCCCCCTAATGGCCGCCATCATTGGAAACTAGAGGCTCTGACCTTTCCAAGGAGGGGTCAGAGGTCATGTAACCGGCTTGGTTCCATCAGCTGCTCTGTTATTCTTATTTTCCATCCAGTTTGCTGATTTTATTGGTAAATTTTAATGAAGCAGCGACTAAATCTGAGGATCAAAGGCTTCGCCTCATGCAGAAAGTCTCCAATAATCTGAATATTTGTCTGATCAGATTCTCTTTCATTAGTGGACAAAATGCCTTGTTTTAAATCCCCTTTCCTCCCAGCACTCTGCCCACTAAAACCTTCATGGAACAAACATGCTTCAACTGATTCAGTCCAGATCAGCTGGACTTCTAGTCTAGATGTGGATCAATAAAGTCTGAGGTTCATCCAGAGCTTCTAATGGGCTTTCATGGTGTTTGCAGTGTTTTATTTGGCGAGGATAAATATTTTTTTCTGTGTTTAATCATCTATAAATCAGACATGCTGACATTTAAAATAGTGGCTCCACCTGAAACACATTCATCAATGCCTTTCCATCATACAAACACAAACAATTGTATTATTAATTTCTAGTTTGGAAGCTGAACTTGCTTTAACTCACAGATGTAATTTCAGGCAGAATTTGCTCCTAAAACCATGTGGGATTAGGAGCACTGAGATTATTTTAATCCCATCTGAACCCAAACAGGTGGAAGCTTTTTGTTTCTCCAACAGTTTTGATTAATAGACAAATGTAAAGATGTTTGTAGAGGAGGTAGTTTATTTTTCTGATCAACCAAATGTCATCTGTTAGATGTTGGACCTAAAGGCTCTCCCAGTGTTCCCAGTAATCAGCCTCTGCTCTTCCAGATTCAACATGATGTCCCGCCCATTTTGCTTTGAGCCCAATAACCGCTACATGGTGGCCATCAGGTTCCAGAGACATGGAGTGGCGTACAGACACCTCACTGCCTTCATCCTGGTGGACTCGGTAAGTCCAACCCCCCCATAATAGCAGCAGAGCTCCCCCCGGTGGCTGCTTTTGGGATTAACCAAAACAAGCCATTTTGGGTGTTTCGGTTCTGGTTTAATCCAGATAATCTGTCCTCTGCTGATTTCGGTCTATTATGTGTCTAAAAGGTTTCCTTGCAGTTAGTTCTTCTGTTTTTATACCTAAATCCAAACAAATCATCTGATTGTGGCCGTTTTTTCTGCCTGATCCTTTTACCATGAGGAAATCTCTGTATTTGAAGATGGACTTCCTTTAACCATGAAACTGTGTTTGCTGTTCTCCAAACAGCTGGTTTTGATCCCCAGCTACTCCGAGCTTCCTGGTTTCCAGGTCAGTGAATCAGAGGACCTGTGCCTGGGCTCCTTCATGATGCCGCCGATGCCGGCTCTGGATGACACCTGCTCCAAGCTCATCTGCAGCATCTCGGCTGTTATTCACAACGGCGCTCTGCGTAAGTGGACCCAAAGCTGCTCTGTGGCCGTTTAATGCAGAACCTGATCGTCTGTTTTCTGTGCAGCCTGTCAGTGTGACCCTCAGGGCTCCGTCAGCGGCGCGTGTGAGACGGTGGGAGGTCAGTGCCGCTGCAAAGCCAACGTCATGGGGCGCCGCTGCGACCAGTGCGCCCCGGGAACCTACGGCTTCGGAGTGAATGGCTGCACTGGTCAGTCTGGTTCTGGAACCAAAAACCTCTTTATTTAAGGTTTGATGGGGAGACATGATTCTCTAAGATGAGTAATGGAGGTGATGACGTTCTTTCCCTGGATTTCAGCTTTTATTGGCAGGTCTGGTCCATCACCCTCTAATTGGTGCCTCATGCAGCAATCAGAACATTTGTCTTCTGCAAAGAAGTAGAACCAGAGTTTGGGACCCCTCCATGCTTCTCAGAGAATGAGCCCTCCTCTCCTCTCTCTTCCAGCCTGTGACTGCCACCCAGAGGGCTCTGTGAGCCACCAGTGCGACCCAGTTACAGGCCAGTGCCCCTGCAGACAGGGAGCCACTGGGCGCCAGTGCTCCGACTGCCAACCGGGCCAGTGGGGCTTCCCCAGCTGCAGACCCTGCCAGTGCAACGGCCACGCAGACCTGTGCCACCCCCAGACAGGGGAGTGCCGGGGCTGCAGGGACAACACGGCGGGACGCTTCTGTGAACGGTGAGGACGGCTGATTCTGGACCTTCCTGATTAATGCAGACATATGAACCTCACTGCTCCTTCTTCACAGCTGCATGGATGGGTTCTATGGGAACCCGGTGCTTGGTTCTGGGGATCACTGCCACCCCTGCCCCTGCCCTGGTATCCCCGGTTCGGCCAACTTCCACGGACTCTCCTGTCAAACAGACCAGAGCTCTGATCAGATCATCTGCAGCTGCAAACAAGGCTTCACAGGTGAGTTATCAGAGCTCCCTGTTCCTGATCGTTTCACTGAAAAGTATTCACACCCCTTCAGCTGGTTATACCTGATCACAGTGAAGACACTCCACCTCCATCTGTTTGATTAACGTCTAGAAAAAGTAGAGCCAAATCCCAACCCTTAGGCAGAATGCTGTTATTAGTCAGATGTTAGAAGGTTCTGGTCCAAGTCCAGATCCATATCTAAATGGGAATCTGTGTCATGGCTGGAACATTTCTCTTTATTTCAATGAGAGAAGAAAGCAGTTTTGATTTCATTCTGAAATATTATCATAAATACCCTGCTTACATCTATATTCACAATCCACAGTTGTTTATCTGTAACTCCGAGCTAATCTGTAACTGAGTTAATCTGCAACTCTGGGCTAATCTGTAACTGGGTTTATCTGTAACTCTGGGCTAATCTGTAACTCTAGGCTAATCTGTAACTCTGAGCTAATCTGTAACTCTAGGCTAATCTGTAGCTCTAGGCTAATCTGTAACTGGGCTAATCTGTAACTCTGGGCTAATATGTGACTCTGGGCTAATCTGTAACTGGGCTAATCTGTAACTCTGGGTTTATATATGACTCTGGGCTAATATGTAACTGAGCTAATCTGTAACTCTGGGCTAATCTGTAACTCTGGGCTAGTCTGTAACTCTAGACTAATCTGTAGCTCTATGCCAATCTGTAACTCTAAGCTAATCTGTAACTCTGAGCTAATCTGTAACTCTGAGCTAATCTGTAACTCTGGGCTAATCTGTAACTCTGAGCTAATCTGTAACTCTGAGTTTATCTGTAACTCAGTTTATCTGTAACTCTGGGCTAATCTGTAACTCTGGACTAATCTGTATATCTGAGCTAATCTGTAACTTTGGGCTAATCTGTAACTCTGGGCTAATATATGACTCTGGGCTAATATATGACTCTGGGCTAATCTGTAACTGGGCTAATCTGTAACACTTGGCTAATATGTGACTCTGGGCTAATCTGTAACTGGGCTAATCTGTAACTCTGGGTTTATATATGACTGGGCTAATATGTAACTGAGCTAATCTGTAACTCTGGGCTAATCTGTAACTCTAGACTAATCTGTAGCTCTATGCTAATCTGTAATTCTGAGCTTATCTGTAACTCTGAGCTAATTTGTAACTCTGAGCTAATCTGTAACTCAGAGCTAATCTGTAACTCTGAGCTAATTTGTAACTCTGAGCTAATCTGTAACTGAGCTAATCTGTAACTCTGGGCTAATCTGTAACTCTAAACTAATCTGTAACTCTGAGCTAATCTGTAACTGAGCTAATCTGTAACTCTGGGCTAATCTGTAACTCTAAACTAATCTGTAACTCTGGGCTAATCTGTAACTCTGAGCTAATCTGTAACTCTGGGCTAATCTGTAACTCTAGGCTAATCTGTAGCTCTAGGCTAATCTGTAACTCTGAGCTAATCTCTAACTCTGAGCTAATCTGTAACTCTAGGCTAATCTGTAACTTTGGGCTAATCTGTAACTCTGGGCTAATCTGTAACTCTGGGCTAATATGTGACTCTGGGCTAATATATGACTCTGGGCTAATATGTAACTGAGATAATCTGTAACTCTGGGCTAATCTGTAACTCTAGGCTAATCTGTAACTCTGAGCTAATTTGTAATTGAGCTAATCTGTAACTCTGAGCTAATCTGTAACTCTGGGCTAATCTGTAACTCTAAACTAATCTGTAACTCTGGGCTAATCTTTAACTCTAAGCTAATTTGTAAATCTGAGCTAATCTGTAACTCTGAGCTAATCTGTAACTCTGAGCTAATCTGTAACTCTGAGCTAATCTGTAACTCTAAACTAATCTGTAACTCTGGGCTAGTCTGTAACTCTAGACTAATCTGTAGCTCTATGCCAATCTGTAACTCTAAGCTAATCTGTAACTCTGAGCTAATCTGTAACTCTGAGCTAATCTGTAACTCTGGGCTAATCTGTAACTCTGAGCTAATCTGTAACTCTGAGTTTATCTGTAACTCAGTTTATCTGTAACTCTGGGCTAATCTGTAACTCTGGACTAATCTGTATATCTGAGCTAATCTGTAACTTTGGGCTAATCTGTAACTCTGGGCTAATATATGACTCTGGGCTAATATATGACTCTGGGCTAATCTGTAACTGGGCTAATCTGTAACTCTTGGCTAATATGTGACTCTGGGCTAATCTGTAACTGGCTAATATGTGACTCTGGGCTAATCTGTAACTGGGCTAATCTGTAACTCTGGGTTTATATATGACTGGGCTAATATGTAACTGAGCTAATCTGTAACTCTGGGCTAATCTGTAACTCTAGACTAATCTGTAGCTCTATGCTAATCTGTAATTCTGAGCTTATCTGTAACTCTGAGCTAATTTGTAACTCTGAGCTAATCTGTAACTCAGAGCTAATCTGTAACTCTGAGCTAATTTGTAACTGAGCTAATCTGTAACTGAGCTAATCTGTAACTCTGGGCTAATCTGTAACTCTAAACTAATCTGTAACTCTGAGCTAATCTGTAACTGAGCTAATCTGTAACTCTGGGCTAATCTGTAACTCTAAACTAATCTGTAACTCTGGGCTAATCTGTGACTCTGAGCTAATCTGTAACTCTGGGCTAATCTGTAACTCTAGGCTAATCTGTAGCTCTAGGCTAATCTGTAACTCTGAGCTAATCTCTAACTCTGAGCTAATCTGTAACTCTAGGCTAATCTGTAACTTTGGGCTAATCTGTAACTCTGGGCTAATCTGTAACTCTGGGCTAATATGTGACTCTGGGCTAATATATGACTCTGGGCTAATATGTAACTGAGATAATCTGTAACTCTGGGCTAATCTGTAACTCTAGGCTAATCTGTAACTCTGAGCTAATTTGTAATTGAGCTAATCTGTAACTCTGAGCTAATCTGTAACTCTGGGCTAATCTGTAACTCTAAACTAATCTGTAACTCTGGGCTAATCTTTAACTCTAAGCTAATTTGTAAATCTGAGCTAATCTGTAACTCTGAGCTAATCTGTAACTCTGATCTTATCTGTAACTGGGCTAATCTGTAACTCTGAGCTAATCTGTAACTCTGATCTTATCTGTAACTGGGCTAATCTGTAACTCTGAGCTAATCTGTAACTCTGGGCTAATCTGTAACTCTAGGCTAATCTGTAACTCTAAGATAATTTGTAACTCTAAACTAATCTGTAACTCTGGGCTAATCTGTAACTCTGAGCTAATCTGTAACTCTGAGCTAATTTGTAACTCTGAGCTAATCTGTAACTCTGAGCTAATCTATAACTCTGGGCTAATCTGTAACTCTAGGCTAATCTGTAACTCTAAGCTAATTTGTAAATCTGAGCTAATCTGTAACTCTGAGCTAATCTGTAATTCTGATCTTATCTGTAACTGGGCTAATCTGTAACTCTGGGCTAATCTGTTACTCTGAGCTAATTTGTAATTGAGCTAATCTGTAACTCTGAGCTAATCTGTAACTCTGGGCTAATCTGTAACTCTAAACTAATCTGTAACTCTGGGCTAATCTGTAACTCTAAGCTAATTTGTAAATCTGAGCTAATCTGTAACTCTGAGCTAATCTGTAACTCTGATCTTATCTGTAACTGGGCTAATCTGTAACTCTGAGCTAATCTGTAACTCTGATCTTATCTGTAACTGGGCTAATCTGTAACTCTGGGCTAATCTGTAACTCTGGGCTAATCTGTAACTCTAGGCTAAACTGTAACTCTGGGCTAATCTGTAACTTGGAGCTAATCTCTAACTCTGAGCTAACTTGTAACTCAGCTAATCTGTAACTCTGAGCTAATCTGTAACTCTGGGCTAATCTGTAACTCTGAGCTAATCTGTAACTCTGAGCTAACTTGTAACTCTGAGCTAATCTGTAACTCTAGGCTAATCTGTAACTCTGAGCTAATTTGTAACTCTGAGCTAATCTTTAACTCTAAGCTAATTTGTAAATCTGAGCTAATCTGTAACTCTGAGCTAATCTGTAATTCTGATCTTATCTGTAACTGGGCTAATCTGTAACTCTGGGCTAATCTGTTACTCTGGGCTAATCTGTAACTCTGGGCTAATATGTGACTCTGGGCTAATCTGTAACTCTGGGTTTATATATGACTGGGCTAATATGTAACTCTGGGCTAATCTGTAACTCTGGGCTAATCTGTAACTCTAGACTAATCTGTAACTCTGAGCTTATCTGTAACTCTGAGCTTATCTGTAACTCTGAGCTAATTTGTAACTCTGAGCTAATCTGTAACTCTGAGCTAATTTGTAACTCTGAGCTAATCTGTAACTGAGCTAATCTGTAACTCTGGGCTAATCTGTAACTCTAAACTAATCTGTAACTCTGAGCTAATCTGTAACTCTGGGCTAATCTGTAACTCTAGGCTAATCTGTAGCTCTAGGCTAATCTGTAACTCTGAGCTAATCTCTAACTCTGAGCTAATCTGTAACTCTGGGCTAATCTGTAACTTTGGGCTAATCTGTAACTCTGGGCTAATCTGTAACTCTAGGCTAAACAGTAACTCTGGGCTAATCTGTAACTCTGAGCTAATCTGTAGCTCTAGGCTAATCTGTAGCTCTAGGCTAATCTGTAACTCTGAGCTAATCTCTAACTCTGAGCTAATCTGTAACTCTGGGCTAATCTGTAACTTTGGGCTAATCTGTAACTCTGGGCTAATCTGTAACTCTGGGCTAATATGTGACTCTGGGCTAATATATGACTCTGGGCTAATATGTAACTGAGATAATCTGTAACTCTGGGCTAATCTGTAACTCTAGGCTAATCTGTAACTCTGAGCTAATTTGTCATTGAGCTAATCTGTAACTCTGAGCTAATCTGTAACTCTGGGCTAATCTGTAACTCTAAACTAATCTGTAACTCTGGGCTAATCTGTAACTCTGGGCTAATATATGACTCTGGGCTAATCTGTAACTGAGCTAATCTGTAACTCTGGGCTAATTTGTAACTCTAGGCTAATCTGTAACTCTAAACTAATCTGTAACTTTGGGCTAATCTGTAACTCTGGGCTAATCTGTAGTTTAAAATCTTTAGGACAGTTTGTTCTAAGAAAGTTAAGGTGAGATTAGCTGTTGTTTTAACTCTGTATGATTAATAACTTAGGTAAAATAGTTTTACCACTAAAGAAATCAAGTCCAATAGGAAAATATTGGAAGGAATAAAAAAAAAAAAATGTTTCCTTTTTTAGAATATAATGAAAAAGGAAGATCTTGATTAATAGATAGAAACAGAGGAGCTGCTAGCACTAGTGGAGGGAGTCTAGGAAGCAGTGTTACTTTTATCAGCTTTTTTTAATTTAGTCTTAGTCACATTGACAAAAATCAATTTTAGTCTTAGTCATATTTAGTCATTGCCTTCCCAATTTAGTTTTAATCTTATTCTAAATGACGAAAATCTATTTTAGTCATTTTTGTCAACAAATGAGGAATCAGGGCAGAGCAGGCAGGGGGAGGAGCAGGCATTTCGGTCTGATTCTTCATTTCAGGGTTAGTTACCGTCTGATTCCTCATTTCAGGCTTAGTTACCTTCTGATTCTTCATTTCAGGGTTAGTTACCGTCTGTTTCCTCATTTCAGGGTTAGTTACCGTCTGATTCCTCATTTCAGGGTTAGTTACCATCTGATTCCTCATTTCAGGGTTAGTTACCGTCTGATTCCTCATTTCAGGCTTAGTTACCTTCTGATTCTTCATTTCAGGGTTAGTTACCGTCTGTTTCCTCATTTCAGGGTTAGTTACCGTCTGTTTCCTCATTTCAGGGTTAGTTACCGTCTGATTCCTCATTTCAGGGTTAGTTACCGTCTGATTCTTAATTTCAGGGTTAGTTACCGTCTGATTCCTCATTTCAGGGTTAGTTGCCGTCTGATTCTTCATTTCAGGGTTAGTTACCGTCTGTTTCCTCATTTCAGGGTTAGTTACCGTCTGTTTCCTCATTTCAGGGTTAGTTACCGTCTGATTCCTCATTTCAGGGTTAGTTACCGTCTGATTCCTCATTTCAGGGTTAGTTACCGTCTGATTCTTCATTTCAGGGTTAGTTACCGTCTGATTCTTCATTTCAGGGTTAGTTACCGTCTGATTCCTCATTTCAGGGTTAGTTACCGTCTGTTTCCTCATTTCAGGGTTAGTTACTGTCTGATTCCTCATTTCAGGGTTAGTTACCGTCTGATTCTTCATTTCAGGGTTAGTTACCGTCTGATTACTCATTTCAGGGTTAGTTGCCGTCTGATTCTTCATTTCAGGGTTAGTTACCGTCTGATTCTTCATTTCAGGGTTAGTTACCGTCTGTTTCCTCATTTCAGGGTTAGTTACCGTCTGATTCCTCATTTCAGGGTTAGTTACCGTCTGATTCTTCTTTTCAGGGTTAGTTACCGTCTGATTCTTCATTTCAGGGTTAGTTACCGTCTGATTCTTCATTTCAGGGTTAGTTACCGTCTGTTTCCTCATTTCAGGGTAAGTTACCGTCTGATTCCTCATTTCAGGGTTAGTTACCGTCTGATTCTTCATTTCAGGGTTAGTTACCGTCTGTTTCCTCATTTCAGGGTTAGTTACCGTCTGATTCCTCATTTCAGGGTTAGTTACCGTCTGATTCTTCATTTCAGGGTTAGTTACCGTCTGATTCCTCATTTCAGGGTTAGTTACCGTCTGATTCTTCATTTCAGGGTTAGTTACCGTCTGATTCCTCATTTCAGGGTTAGTTACCGTCTGATTCCTCATTTCAGGGTTAGTTGCCGTCTGATTCTTCATTTCAGGGTTAGTTACCGTCTGATCCTTCCTTTCAGGGTTAGTTACCGTCTGATTCCTCATTTCAGGGTTAGTTACCGTCTGATTCCTCATTTCAGGGTTAGTTACCGTCTGATTCTTCATTTCAGGGTTAGTTACCGTCTGATTCCTCATTTCAGGGTTAGTTACCGTCTGATTCGTCATTTCAGGGTTAGTTACCGTCTGTTTCCTCATTTCAGGGTTAGTTACCGTCTGATTCCTCATTTCAGGGTTAGTTACCGTCTGATTCTTCATTTCAGGGTTAGTTACCGTCTGATTCTTCATTTCAGGGTTAGTTACCGTCTGTTTCCTCATTTCAGGGTTAGTTACCGTCTGATTCCTCATTTCAGGGTTAGTTACCGTCTGATTCTTCATTTCAGGGTTAGTTACAGTCTGTTTCCTCATTTCAGGGTTAGTTACCGTCTGATTCCTCATTTCAGGGTTAGTTACCGTCTGATTCCTCATTTCAGGGTTAGTTACCGTCTGATTCTTCATTTCAGGGTTAGTTACCGTCTGATTCCTCATTTCAGGGTTAGTTACCGTCTGATTCTTCATTTCAGGGTTAGTTACCGTCTGATTCCTCATTTCAGGGTTAGTTACCGTCTGATTCCTCATTTCAGGGTTAGTTACCGTCTGATTCTTCATTTCAGGGTTAGTTACCGTCTGATTCTTCATTTCAGGGTTAGTTACCGTCTGATTCCTTATTTCAGGGTTAGTTACCGTCTGATTCCTCATTTCAGGGTTAGTTGCCGTCTGATTCTTCATTTCAGGGTTAGTTACCGTCTGATTCTTCCTTTCAGGGTTAGTTACCGTCTGATTCCTCGTTTCAGGGTTAGTTACCGTCTGATTCCTCATTTCAGGGTTAGTTACCGTCTGATTCCTCATTTCAGGGTTAGTTACCGTCTGATTCCTCATTTCAGGGTTAGTTGCCGTCTGATTCTTCATTTCAGGGTTAGTTACCGTCTGATTCTTCATTTCAGGGTTAGTTACCGTCTGTTTCCTCATTTCAGGGTTAGTTACCGTCTGATTCCTCATTTCAGGGTTAGTTACCGTCTGATTCCTCATTTCAGGGTTAGTTACCGTCTGATTCCTCATTTCAGGCTTAGTTACCTTCTGATTCCTCATTTCAGGGTTAGTTACCGTCTGTTTCCTCATTTCAGGGTAAGTTACCGTCTGATTCCTCATTTCAGGGTTAGTTTCCGTCTGATTCCTCATTTCAGGGTTAGTTGCCGTCTGATTCCTCATTTCAGGGTTAGTTGCCGTCTGATTCCTCATTTCAGGGTTAGTTACCGTCTGTTTCCTCATTTCAGGGTTAGTTACCGTCTGTTTCCTCATTTCAGGGTTAGTTACCGTCTGATTCCTCATTTCAGGGTTAGTTACCGTCTGTTTCCTCATTTCAGGGTTAGTTACCGTCTGTTTCCTCATTTCAGGGTTAGTTGCCGTCTGATTCTTCATTTCAGGGTTAGTTACCGTCTGTTTCCTCATTTCAGGGTTAGTTACCGTCTGTTTCCTCATTTCAGGGTTAGTTACCGTCTGATTCCTCATTTCAGGGTTAGTTACCGTCTGTTTCCTCATTTCAGGGTTAGTTACCGTCTGTTTCCTCATTTCAGGGTTAGTTACCGTCTGATTCCTCATTTCAGGGTTAGTTACCGTCTGATTCCTCATTTCAGGGTTAGTTACCGTCTGATTCCTCATTTCAGGGTTAGTTACCGTCTGATTCTTCCTTTCAGGGTTAGTTACCGTCTGATTCCTCATTTCAGGGTTAGTTACCGTCTGATTCCTCATTTCAGGGTTAGTTACCGTCTGATTCTTTATTTCAGAGCAGCTTCCTATCTGTATATTTCTATGGGCGTCTGAGGTCTGTTATCCTTTTAAACATTTTCTAACAGACTGTTTATCCGCCTGATGCAGGAAAATGAAACAGACTGATATTTAACAGAATATAACATACTATTCAAAACATTAAAGTCTTTTTCTAGTTTGGAATAATTTCAAAGCATTTTCCAATTTTTCAGAATAAAAAAGTTTTTTGGTTTCAAAGTAAAAAAAAAACTGTTAAAGTGAAACTTTGTGCGTTTTAGGAAGTGTTGTTCTGTGGAGCCCGCTGTAGTCAGTATCTTCAGGAAGTGATGTGAGCAGCGGTCCGGCCCGGTTCTGACCCATCAGAACCTCTCGGTTCATTCCCTGCAGACCACTCTAACGACACACATCGGTAACCCCCTCATATCTGTCTGTTCCTTCCAGGGCCGCGCTGCGATCAGTGCTCTCCAGGTTACTATGGCAACCCACAGCAAGCCGGCGGGCAGTGCGTCCCCTGCGCGTGCAACGGCAACATCGACCCCCTGGACCCCGGGTCGTGTGACTCCAGGACCGGGCAGTGCCTCAGGTGTCTGTACCACACCGACGGGTCGTCCTGTGAGAGCTGTGAAAGCGGTTACTACGGCAACGCTTTGGTGAAGGACTGCAGACGTGAGTGATGATACGTGTTGCTGGTTCTCTAAGGTTTATAAGAGGTGATTATGGGTTTATGGCTGAGTGGACCCTGGATTTAGGTCCACTGACCCACTGAGCCCCTCCTCCCTTTGCAGCTCCATTGACCCCCACCCCCCAGGGCCATGCTTCACCAGGTGCACCAGAGCATGGTGCTCCAGAGGTGTTACGTTAGATTTAGCTCATGGAGGACAGGCAGTGGTTCTTCATCCTCCAGGACTCCTGCACCAGGGCAGGATCTCCATCCACTCCGAGGGCAGCTCAACCTTCACCACAGCTTCTCCACACCTTGTAGGGTCCATCACAGGAGCCCAGATGGAACCGGTCCTGTTTAGAACAGGGATCCGATTGTAAACCGGCTTCCTGTGGTCTCCTCCCTGCTGAGCTCCATGGAGAAGGCAGGGCTTCTTAGCATTCAGAGACCTTCATCCCCACTGAACGTCACTGGTCCTGCTGATGGGTAAAGTCTGCTGCTCTCCACCTCCCCCAGACTCACCTTGAACATCCATCCATGCTCTTCAGACTCTGATGGGAGACACAGCCAACCAGGGGGGGAACTGATGAGCCCTCCTGGTGCAGCTGAGCTTTCCCTACAGGGTTCAAGTCCACCTAGTTGTCCCAGTGGCAGCGCTGACCCTGGAAAGCTACTGGGAACCAGTGAAAAGATTGAGTGGGATATTTCAGAGCAGGTTTTTAGTCATTAATGTTTTTAGCATGCTGTATGTTTAAACGCTGCAATGGTGAAGGTATTATCTAAGTTTTCCCGGATATTGGTGCATATTGGAGCAATACCATCAATGCTGTGGAAAATACAAACACCCAGTCCGCTTCCTGTGCCCAGGTTGCACCTGTGTGCCTGCTGGCACCCTGCAGTCTGCCTGCAGCGATGGACGCTGTCTCTGTGACAGTCAAAATGGAAGCTGCCCCTGCAGGGGGGCAGTGATGGGGAACAACTGTGACCAGTGTGCCCCTGACCACTGGAACTACGGCCAGGAAGGAGGCTGTCAGCCCTGCAACTGTCACCCACAGCACTCAGTGGGCTCCCACTGCAACATGGTGAGGAGGAGGAACCAAAGCGTCCAAAGAGAACATGAGGAAAAACATGCTGAGCGTCTGCGTGCTTCTCTCCCCTACAGTTTACAGGCCAGTGTCGCTGTCGCCACGGCTTTGGAGGACAGCAGTGCACTGAGTGCCAGGAGAACCACTGGGGGGACCCACAGGTGGAGTGTAAAGGTACGTCAGGGACAAGAACCTCAGCGGCTTCTTTGTTTTCTCTTTACCCATTTTGATTAGATTGATCCGGACTAAATCCGGATCTGGAAAAGCTAAAGGAGCAGCAGTGTTTCAGTGAGACAGTCTGCAGCTGTGCTGCTGCCACTAACACCTTTGTTTCTAGATGTTGGAGCTTGGCCTGTTTTCAGCTGGTTTTCCTTAGATAGAAAACTTTGAATCAATCTGACTGGATGAAAGAGCCTTGATATGATGATATGTGTTGTGAATTGGCGCAATAGAAATTAACTGAATTGAATTGAATTGAATTTATCGGTGAATATTAGCCACCTGTAAAGCTAATGAACAGACCTGGAGATAAAAGTCAGCTGCAAACATAAAAAACGGTTTGCAGTCATTGTGGCCACAAAGGAGCATGGTTGCAGTGAGTCTGTGACCATATTTAGACTGTCAGGAATCATAGCAGGATAATGTTGGTAAAGAAAACAGCTTCAGCACCTTGACTGAACGTGAATCCTGATGGGGTTTAGATCTTAGTCTGCTGTAAATCTGACTACAGCTCATTCTCTGGGGGGGTGTACTTTTCAATGAGCTTTGCTTATTTTTATTGTTTAATTTATTAGCACGACTACCTCCATATATCCACATAGAGGACCGAACCTTTTTACCGGTCTGAATTTTTCAGCATGCAGAGCGCCATCCTATGTTAGAACAAGAAACTAAAGGTGGGATTAATGGGACAGAGCAGACAGTGACATGTGCTGGTTGGTCCCTACTGATCCATAGAATACTAGCAGAAGTAGTTTGGTTGTGATTTGACAGAATATTAGGGATCTGGTTGAATAAACAGCCAATCTGGAGGCTTTGAAAAGTGAAACGGATAAGAAAAGCTATGAAGACGAGGCAGGAAATTGGAAACATAAGCCTGATCTCAACACTGGCGGTAGGATAATTGTGCAGCATTAGATTAAAGAGAATTTACCCAAATAATTTTATCCGAACCCGGGACCATGTGCTAACAGATTAAATGAGTGATGTCACTGTCTGGTAAAATGGAGCACTTTCACAGAAATTCCAGGTTTTAGATTGTTAGGATAATTATCCATCTTTAACAAGATGTTCGATATCAAAATGTGGGAAAGTTCTAGAAATGGACGGGAAGACGTTCTCTTCAGTTTTAAACCAACCTTCAGGTTCCCCTCTGAACTAAAGGAGGGTCTGTTCTTCCTGAATCGTTTTTCAAAGATCTATTTTTTTTTTGGTGATACCTAAAAGTGTTCATCACTGCTAAGCGTCTGTCTGCTTCCTCAGAGTGTAACTGCCACCCACTGGGTTCCCAGTTACTCCAATGTAACCGAGAGACGGGGCAGTGCGAGTGCCGGGATGGGATGGCAGGGGCCCGGTGTGATGAATGCGCCCGCGGCTTCACGGGTGTCTTCCCAGACTGCGTCCGCTGCCATCAGTGCTTCCAGCTGTGGGACGACTACCTGTGCCAGATCAGAAGGGATCTGGACCACATACAGGATGCTATAGAGAGGATCCTGGAGAGTGGGACCACGCCCGGCGTGGATAGTGCCCGCATCAAGGAGCTGGAGCAGAAGCTGAATCAAGTCCGGGCTCTAATTGATGCAAGGGACATAGAAACGACCCATCAGCTGATTGGACAGAGCATCGACAACCTCAAGTGGGCAACTAATTCTGCATATAAATGTTTTGGCTCCTCTGATACATAAATTCCCCAAATGAACAAAAACCTGCCTTGTTTTTCAGCACAGAGATTCTTCTGATCAACCAAAATCTGAAGGAAATCAACCAGGATACCAACAACACCAAGGGAGCAGACGAGGTCTTAAAGCGCAACCTGGTTGACCTGGAGACAGCACTGAGGGAGTTAAATGCCATGGTATCTCGCAAACAGGAGCAGCTGGAAAACTACTTCAGCTCAGGATTTGCAGGTATCAGACTATGGGCCATCAGACTATGGGCCATCAGACTATGGGTCATCAGACTATAGGCCATCAGACTATGGGCCATCAGACTATCGGCCATCAGACTATGGGCCATCAGACCTTGGGCCATCAGACTATGGGCCATCAGACTATCGGCCATCAGACTATGGGCCATCAGACCTTGGGCCATCAGACTATCGGCCATCAGACTATGGGCCATCAGACCTTGGGCCATCAGACTATGGGCCATCAGACTATCGGCCATCAGACTATGGGCCATCAGACTATGGGCCATCAGACCTTGGGCCATCAGACCTTGGGCCATCAGACTATAGGCCAATAGACTTAGAGCCATCAGACTTTCGGCCATCGGACTATGGTCCATTAGCCCCTTGGGCCATTAGACCTTGAACCATCAAATCTTGGCCCATCAGACTCTAGGCCATCAGACTATGGGCCATCAGACCTTGAACCATCAAATCTTGGCCCATCAGACTCTGGGCCATCAGACTCTGGGCCATCAGACTCTGGGCCATCAGACTCTGGGCCATTAGACTATGGGTCATCAGACTATGGGCCATCAGACCTTGGGCCATAAGACTATGGCCAATCAGACCATGGGCCATCAGACCATGGCCCATCAGACGATGGGTCATCAGACTATGGGCCATCAGACCTTGGGCCATAAGACTATGGGCCATCACACCATGGGCCATCAGACCATGGTCCATCAGACGATGGGCCATCAGACTATGAGCCATCAGACTCTGGCCCATCAGACTATGGGCCATCAGACTATGGGTCATCAGACTATGGGCCATCAGACCTTGGGCCATAAGACTATGGCCAATCAGACCATGGGCCATCAGACCTTGTGCCATCAGACTTTGGGCAATCAGACTATGGGCCATCAGACCTTGGGCCATCAGACCTTGTGCCATCAGACTTTGGGCAATCAGACTATGGGCCATCAGACTATGGGTCATCAGACTATGGGCCATCAGACCTTGGGCCATCAGACTATGGGTCATCAGACTATGGGTCATCAGACTATGGGCCATCAGACCTTGGGCCATCAGACCTTGTGCCATCAGACTTTGGGCAATCAGACTATGGGCCATCAGACTATGGGTCATCAGACTATGGGCCATCAGACCTTGGGCCATCAGACTATGGGTCATCAGACTATGGGTCATCAGACTATGGGCCATCAGACCTTGGGCAATGAGACTATGGGCCATCAGACTTTGGGCAATCAGACTATGGGCCATCAGACTAAGGGTCATCAGACTATGGGTCATCAGACTATGGGCCATCAGACCTTGGGCCATCAGACTATGGGTCATCAGACTATGGGTCATCAGACTATGGGCCATCAGACTATGGGCCATCAGACTATGGCCAATCAGACCATGGGCCATCAGACCTTGTGCCATCAGACTTTGGGCAATCAGACTATGGGCCATCAGACTATGGGTCATCAGACTATGGGTCATCAGACTATGGGTCATCAGACTATGGGTCATCAGACCATGGGCCATCAGACTATGGGTCATCAGACTATGGCCAATCAGACTATGGGACATCAGACTATGGCCAATCAGACTATGGGCCATCAGACTACGGCCCATCAGACTATGGCCAATCAGTCTACGGCCAATCAGTCTACGGCCAATCAGACTATGGGTCATCAGACTATGGCCAATCAGACTATGGCCAATCAGTCTACGGCCAATCAGACTATGGCCAATCAGACTATGGCCAATCAGACTATGGGTCATCAGACTATGGGTCATCAGACTATGGGCCATCAGACTATGGCCAATCAGACTATGGCCAATCAGACTATGGCCAATCAGACTATGGGTCATCAGACTATGGGCCATCAGACTATGGGCCATCAGACTATGGGCCATCAGACTATGGCCAATCAGACTATGGCCAATCAGACTATGGGTCATCAGACTATGGGCCATCAGACTATGGGCCATCAGACTATGGCCAATCAGACTATGGCCAATCAGACTATGGCCAATCAGACTATGGGTCATCAGACTATGGCCAATCAGACTACGGCCAATCAGACTATGGGTCATCAGACTATGGGTCATCAGACTATGGGCCATCAGACTATGGGCCATCAGACTATGGGTCATCAGACTATGGGCCATCAGACTATGGGCCATCAGACTATGGCCAATCAGACTATGGCCAATCAGACTATGGCCAATCAGACTATGGGTCATCAGACTATGGGTCATCAGACCATGGGCCATCAGACTATGGGTCATCAGACTATGGGCCATCAGACTACGGCCCATCAGACTATGGCCAATCAGTCTACGGCCAATCAGTCTACGGCCAATCAGACTATGGGTCATCAGACTATGGCCAATCAGACTATGGCCAATCAGACTACGGCCAATCAGACTATGGGTCATCAGACTATGGGCCATCAGACTATGGGCCATCAGACTATGGCCAATCAGACTATGGCCAATCAGACTATGGCCAATCAGACTATGGGTCATCAGACTATGGGCCATCAGACTATGGGTCATCAGACTATGGGTCATCAGACTATGGCCAATCAGACTACGGCCAATCAGACTATGGGTCATCAGACTATGGGTCATCAGACTATGGGCCATCAGACTATGGGCCATCAGACTATGGCCAATCAGACTATGGGTCATCAGACTATGGGCCATCAGACTATGGCCAATCAGACTATGCGTCATCAGACTATGGGCCATCAGACTATGGGTCATCAGACTATGGCCAATCAGACTACGGCCAATCAGACTATGGGTCATCAGACTATGGGTCATCAGACTATGGGCCATCAGACTATGGGCCATCAGACTATGGGCCATCAGACTATGGCCAATCAGACTATGGCCATCAGACTATGGGTCATCAGACTATGGGCCATCAGACTATGGGCCATCAGACTATGGCCAATCAGACTATGGCCAATCAGACTACGGCCAATCAGACTATGGGTCATCAGACTATGGCCAATCAGACTATGGCCAATCAGACTATGGCCAATCAGACTATGGGTCATCAGACTATGGGCCATCAGACTATGGGCCATCAGACTATGGCCAATCAGACTATGGCCAATCAGACTACGGCCAATCAGACTATGGGTCATCAGACTATGGGCCATCAGACTATGGCCAATCAGACTATGGCCAATCAGACTATTGACCATCAGACTATGGGCCATCAGACTATGGGCCATCAGACTATGGGTCATCAGACTATGGGCCATCAGACTATGGGTCATCAGACTATGGCCAATCAGACTATGGGTCATCAGACTATGGCCAATCAGACTATGGGTCATCAGACTATGGGCCATCAGACTATGGCCAATCAGACTATGGCCAATCAGACTATTGACCATCAGACTATGGCCAATCAGACTATTGACCATCAGACTATGGGCCATCAGACTATGGGCCATCAGACTATGGGTCATCAGACTATGGCCAATCAGACTATGGGCCATCAGACTATGGCCAATCAGACTATGGGTCATCAGACTATGGCCAATCAGACTATTGGCCATCAGACTATGAACCATCAGACTATGGCCAATCAGACTATGGACCATCAGACTATGAACCATCAGACTATGGGCCAGGCTATCAATCATACTGAGCTTAGTTTTAAAGCTCAACTCCTTCCTAAGTAGAAAATGCACCAGAGGCGTTTCATCTCGTTAGCGCAGAAAAGGAGCAATCACACATACGTCTTTTTTCGACAGCATTCTGTGGTCTACAGTTTAATTATTTATTCTAGATCCATAAAAAAAACATGTACATCTAAATTGCTCTGATACGCCTCTTTAACCAGCAGAAGAAGAAATCTCAGCTGCTCTAGTTTCCCACGTCATGAACAAGCAGAGCTAAAAATAAAGAGGAAAAGAATTTTGATAAAAAAATAGAATGAAAAAAGTAAAACTGAATTTCCTTTTAGAGATCAATAAAGTTTGATTAAATTGAATAAAATAAAAATGCAGCCACAACAAAAACTGAGGAACGTTTTTTAACCGGTTAATTCCCAGTGAGCTTTGTCCCACATTGTTTACTTTTAGATCTGGTCACACTTTAACTAACCCATATATCCCTGATTAGATTATTAATCCATGAGGTCAAAGTTCTGATCAGGTGTAAATTTCTGTTTTCATAAATATGGCGTTAAGCTGCGCTGCTTCCATCAATACTGGGAACACATTTGGTGCATTTCCTCCTTTAGTCTCAGAGTTCTAGTTTGAATCCAAGCTGTCCAGAGGGGGCGCTGTGTGCGGCATTCTGTGTGTGTGTGTGGGGGTTACTCCGCTTTGACCGATTGCTGCTGTTTTCCCACAGACCAGTTTGACAAAGTGAAGAAGTTCTACCAGGAGTCTCAGCAGGCGGAGGAGAAATGCAACGCCTCGGTGTCGGGTCCTGAGAGTCCGCTCCAGCAGTCCAACCAAACTCGACAGGTTACAGAGGAGCTGCTGAGCAGCACCAAAGACCAGCTGCTTCAGAACGCCACCGCTCACAACAGGTCATTGAATGAGCTGCAGCAAAAGGCCCAGAACCTGAGTGAGGAGCTGCAACACCTGAGCCAAAAGGTAAGAAGCTCATCAAAGCTGCTTTTAGGGACCTAGATAAATCTGCAGCTCTGATCCAATCAGAACACAGCAGAGCCTGATGCGTTCAATAATTGGGCAGGAATTACTGCATCTATGCAGCGTAGCATAGAAGCTGCTTCATCAGGTTTACCAAGAATAAAAAACTCTTCATCATCGCAATAACACCCCTCATCTTCCTCAGTTCTACAATCTGCTGCATAGCCTCCGGTTTAGGCGTGGCCTAACCCTAGAAGGTGGCGGTTCCAGCCCATCTTCTGGATACATTTGTGTGACGTTCTTCTTGAAGTAATGACTCCAGCTGCTGCTGAGCCTTCAGACCAGCGAGTGCTTCATCCTCTGAAGGATGCATCTCAGGCCCTTTATGAACATTTTCTTCTGAAGTTTCTCCTTCCACTAGACCTTTCAATCCGTGTGCTTGGAGACGGTTTTCTGCACTTTCATTACCACTGACCTTTTGTGGCCCCTCCTCCTGTCAGTCAGAGCTCTGTCGTCCCCTAGTGGGGCGGTGTTGAACTGCGGAAGAGCGTGAAATGTTCCTAATCTGAAGGACTTTCTCTGACGTGTGTCCTTCACACACAGAGCTGATAACTGTGGCGTCAAATTTGATTTTGGTTTGTACTTTGCAGAGGGAACTATTCTAAAGCCTCTGATGCTGCGTACTGAGCATCAAAGCCTCTGATTTACATGCAAAGAGGTGCAGCGGTGCATCCGAGCGTTTGACGCTGGAGTTTAAATTAACGTTTTACGGCTGGACGCCGGAGCGTCAACCAATCAGAAAAGCTGATCCAGGACTTTATTTAGAGAGATCGGCACTACCTGCAAGCTGTCATTGCTTCTGCAGACATTCTGAATATGGAAAATTAAATAAATATCAAGGGTTTAAACTCCACAAGTAAAAAAAAAGCCAGAATAATGGAATGTTATGTAGAAGGTGAGCTCTGATCATTATTGCTGCACTAAAACACTCTTTATGAACATGGAGAAACAGTTTATAAATACTCAAATTAACAAGAGATTTTCAAACCTGAAGATGAAAAAATATCTGATTATATATTCTGGTTCTTGCAATTTTTACCACAAACCATAAAAACTCTTTCTATTCACCTTCAGCCGCTACGAGCGGCAGCAGGAAATCCCCCACAGGCTGGCCGCAGCAGAGAGCTTCCAGCGGGGGGTTCCTGCGCCGCCTCCCGGCGGGATGCTGGAGGTCTGACGCTCCCAACAGGAACTGCATAATTTAGTGGGATCCTGGTGAACAGAGGATGTTTGGAGGTGGACTTTCTAGCTTAAAAATGTGTTCAAACTATTTTTCCAGCTCCTAAAGTAAATAAAGCGGAGCTGCTCTCTAGCTGAAAGCTACAGAACAGAGCAGATAAACATCCAGAGCGCCGAGCAGCGAAGCAACTGGACCAGTTTGATCCAGCATCCAAACTTTACGTGTTTTTGATGCTCATAACGCCTTTGGTGTGAACGCAGGACGAGGGTGACCCCCAGACTCTACGTTCTCTGTCAGCGTCCGCACTCACGTACATCGTGCAGAGCACAGGTGCTGTCATGTTAATTAATGAGAACTGCTCCACATCCATTCCTCCGCTCTTCCCCGTCCACCCAGTCTTCTCCGTCCTACACCATCAATACGGAGCAAAGCTATTCATGGTTCAGCTCTGGTCCGTTGGAAGCCGACCAGATCAACATCTGCAATTACAACCAAACAGGAAAAAGAACATCAAGAAGATCTGGTTTGTTGAATAAAAACATAGAAATGACAGATCGGTAACTATGCTATTAGAATGCTAACTAATGCTTGCGTCGAGCTCCAAAGGACTCAGACCGCGGAGGATGTAGACTTTGTTTTGCACAGGCGGTCTGGAACGGAGCGGAGCTTTTAAGGAGGATGTCGGGATTAAAGCAACTCAGTTCTCCATCTGATGTTGATCTCCTGACCAAATATCTTATCATGGAGTTGAGGTGGTGGCGGTCTTTAGGTCCAGGATATTTAGGGTTCTCGTTCCTGGGATGGTTTCTAGAAGCAGCCAAAGCTAAAGATAAGATCCAGCTTAAAGGATGAGGATCGTAACCTTAAGAAGCTGCAGAAACATCATAGATAAGGGAGAAAATTAAGCTTTTAATCTTGTGAATTGTTTAACATTCTGGTTTAAACTGTTTAATAAATGAATCACCAAATGTTTTCATAAGAAGAAAAAAGATGTTTTTTTTTTAATCAAGGCTAAACTCTTTCTAAGCTTGAAGATCGTTGCAGCCAAACTCCTCTGAGCTCTTCTCCCTTCCTCCTCTGAGGTGTGTGGCGGTTCCAGCAATACCAGCCAAAATGGCAGCTGCCCTGAGGGGGTGTGTGGAGGCCTGGGTTGCCGGGATGACCAGGGTAACCTTGTGTGTGGTGGAGAGGGATGCAACGGGACAACCAGCTCTTCACTGACTGCGCTGAATAACGCCAGAAAGATCTCAGACGACGTGAAGGCGGCCATGGAGGAGCTGCAGGCCGTTTCAAAGAAGGTACATGAACCTCCTGTTGGGAAACCGCTGGGACCACATCAGGCTGAGTGTGTGACTGCTTTGGTCCTGGTTCTAGCTTCAGGACATAGCTTCCCAGACCCAGGCGGTGAAGAACCAGACCATGGACGCCCTGGAGAAGGCCCAGAAGAAGAAGGAGTACTTTGAAAAAAGCAATAAAGATCTTAAAGATTTCATTAAGAAGATCAAAGACTTCCTGACAGGTAAGCAGAAGCTGTGCTCAGGTGGAATCCACACCGTGTGACCGAGGTTAAGCTCCTTCTGTTGCTGTGTGCTGAGCAGAGGAGGGCGCAGACCCTGAGAGCATCCTGAAGGTGGCGCAGCAGGTCCTGGACATCCGGCTGCCGCTGGACCGAACCGCCCTGGACAACATGACCCTGCAGATCAGAGACAGCATCGCCAACCTCAGCAACGTCCAGAGCGTCATCAACCAGACGTCGCAGCTCATCCGTGGCGCCGAGGAGCTGCTGAGGAAGGCTAAGGAAGCAGAGTGAGTGACCAGATGCTGGGATCTCAGTCCTCATCGCCAGGAAACCGAGTCACGTTTGGTAGAAAGTTCCAGCATTTCTGACTCATCTCTCTCTTTTTATATCAGATTTAAATTTTATTCTTCCTCAGACCTTCAGCTCCTTTGGGGACCCACCCTGACTTACTGTAACTCACCCTGATGCCCCCGTTAGTGTGAGGAAGAAAAACAGTCTCATTGAAATCTGACCTTTTTTTTACATATTTAATTCCTTACCCTAAAATTTTATCTGGAAAAAAAAATCAGCTGCAAAGAATTCAGGTGCAAAAATGCAATCAAGCTTGCTTTAGCTTGAGTTCACCAAAAGGTCAACACTTTTGCAGGGGAATCTTCATCAGATAAAAAATTCAGTGTTTAAACTTTGTTGTACAAAAAAGGCAGATTCCAATGAGACTGTTTTTTTCCTTATTGGTGTATTATATTCTTTCTTTGTTTATTCAGTTTTGTTATTTTTCATCTATTTGTTAGAAAACTTAAAGCCATCTGAGTATCTAAGATAAGGTGAATCTGTGATGGAGGTTTGATGCCCTGCAGGCGCATTATGAGTAAACTAGGAAGGAACGGATTCCAGCAGCTCAACTTTTCTCCTGCAGAGAAATCAAGAGAGAAAGATCAAAGATCAAATGTGGAAACCAAAAACAAAAGATTTTAGGAAGATAAGAAACGAGTCAGCAAACAGTCTGATTATTGGTGAAGCTGCACAAGCTGCCAGCAGATGGCGACAGAGTTCATGTCTGCTGATGAAACCTGGTCCTGCTCTACTCCACACCAAACGCTTCCATCAGGAGCAGTAGTGGCTGCATCATCAGCAGCTGGTGGAGGCAGGCATCACCATGCTGCATCATCAGCAGCTGGTGGAGGCAGGCATCACCATGCTGCATCATCAGCAGCTGGTGGAGGCAGGCATCACCATGCTGCATCATCAGCAGCTGGTGGAGGCAGGCATCACCATGCTGCATCATCAGCAGCTGGTGGAGGCAGGCATCACCATGCTGCATCATCAGCAGCTGGTGGAGGCAGACATCACCATGCTGCATCATCAGCAGCTGGTGGAGGCAGGCATCACCATGCTGCATCATCAGCA